CCCTGACCACTACAAGGATGCCCCAAATCTGATCCTCTGTTCACCAGAGTCTGTCCCTCTGTTCCTCCTAGTCTGGTCCTGACCAGGCCAAGTAGAGTCCCTGGCAGCAGTAAAGGATGGGTCAAATGCCGTGGACACATAACAAAGTATAACTGAACTATCTGGTCCTCAGAGTTTTCCACATTAGCAAGGTTTCTGCCAACAAGAACAGTCTATTTACTTTAAAACTGCAGTAAATTAACCAATTTGTTATAACATTTGGACATATTGGGACAACACTAATGACAGTATGGGGAGAGATGCTGATCTGGTCCAGCAATGGTCTGATTTAGAGAAAAGTCATTGGACGTTGAAACTATAGTTTTACAGCACATCATGAGAGCAGTGAGCAAAGACACATATTATGCAAAAGTTACTTTTCTAACCACACTTATGAGTTTATACTGCCGATCATAAATCTCTATACATATATATTTTTTAATTGTATATTATACTTGCTAATCCTGGAAAATAAGTTTAATTATACTGTGTTAAAATGTGTGGAAAGGTTAGAAACCCATTTAAAATACACTTATGTTCTAGATGTGATCGCAATTTACACAACAGGACCTTAAGAATGTAAAATGTTTTGCTCTTGGGCGTGTTTGAGTAAACTATTGCATTCCAAACCTCAGTGCTGTTCTTTCTCAGCACTTACTGACGGCGATTCTAGACTTTCTGACTCCACCTTAGTCAAAGTTGGACTCAAAAATGAAAAATATGACGTTAACCCCAAAAACATGACAATCCACTGCTGCTGTGATGTTAAAGAGATTTTCAGATCTGAGTTTTTCAAAGGAAGTTCTTGAACCTGTTTCTTGTATCAAGCCGTTTTGCTGAGGTTCCTGTTTCTAAATAAGTCCTATTTCCTGGTCTCTGTATTCACTACTTATTTAACTTCTACGATCAAAACAGTGTTGCCGTAGTTAGCCATGCTTCTAAGTTTGGAAACTATACGTCTTTTTGATTGTACTGTGTCAGTGTGAAAGGCTTCAACCACAATAAAATCAGTTTTTTTAATAAAATAAAAAACATTTTTTTTATACTTTTAGGGAAATATGTCAATGCTTTTAACTTGGCTAATATCTACATATACATACTTAAGTACCTGAGACGAGTACTTAAGTAACTGAGATGGGTACTTAAGTACTTTAGACAAGTACTTAAGTAACTGAGATGGGTACTTAAGTACTTTAGACGAGTACTAATGCCATTTATGCTGTTTTGCATCAACATTGAGAAGTTTTAGTGAACAAATGACACGTGTGATCAGAAGATATTTCCTTCCTCTGGTTCTCTGTCCGCTGGTCTCTGTCCTCTGGTCTCTGTCCTCTGGTCTCTGTCCTCTGTCCTCTGGTCTCTGTCCTCTGTCCTCTGGTTCTCTGTCCTCTGGTCTCTGTCCTCTGGTCCTCTGTCCTCTGTCCTCTGGTCTCTGTCCTCTGGTCTCTGTCCTCTGGTCTCTGTCCTCTGGTCCTCTGTCCTCTGGTTCTCTGTCCTCTGGTCTCTGTCCTCTGGTCCTCTGTCCTCTGGTCCTCTGTCCTCTGGCCTCTGGTCCTCTGTCCTCTGGTTCTCTGTCCTCTGGTCTCTGTCCTCTGTCCTCTGGTCTCTGTCCTCTGTCCTCTGTCCTCTGGTTCTCTGTCCTCTGGTCTCTGTCCTCTGGTCTCTGGTCTCTGGTCTCTGTCCTCTGTCCTCTGGTCTCTGTCCTCTGGTCTCTGTCCTCTGGTCTCTGTCCTCTGGTCTCTGTCCTCTGTCCTCTGTCCTCTGGTTCTCTGTCCTCTGGTCTCTGTCCTCTGGTCTCTGGTCTCTGTCCTCTGGTCTCTGTCCTCTGGTCTCTGTCCTCTGGTCTCTGTCCTCTGGTCTCTGTCCTCTGTCCTCTGTCCTCTGTCCTCTGGTCTCTGTCCTGGTCTCTGTCCTCTGTCCTCTGGTCTCTGTCCTCTTGTCCTCTTGTCCTCTGTCCTCTGGTCTCTGTCCTCTGGTCTCTGTCCTCTGGTCTCTGTCCTCTGGTCTCTGTCCTCTGGTCTCTGTCCTCTGTCCTCTGGTCTCTGTCCTCTGGTCTCTGTCCTCTGGTCCTCTGGTCTCTGTCCTCTGGTCTCTGTCCTCTGGTCCTCTGTCCTCTGGTCTCTGTCCTCTGGTCTCTGTCCTCTGGTCTCTGTCCTCTGGTCTCTGTCCTCTGTCCTCTGGTCTCTGTCCTCTGGTCTCTGTCCTCTGTCCTCTGTCCTCTGGTCTCTGTCCTCTGTCCTCTGGTCTCTCTGTCCTCTGTCCTCTGTCCTCTGTCCTCTGTCCTCTGGTCTCTGTCTCTGTCCTCTGTCCTCTGTCCTCTGGTCTCTGTCCTCTGGTCTCTGTCTCTCTGTCCTCTGTCCTCTGTCCTCTGTCCTCTGTCCTCCTCTGTCCTCTGGTCTCTGTCCTCTGGTTCTCTGTCCTCTGGTCTCTGTCCTCTGGTCTCTGTCCTCTGGTCTCTGTCCTCTGTCCTCTGGTCTCTGTCCTCTTGTCCTCTGTCCTCTGGTCTCTGTCCTCTGTCCTCTTGTCCTCTGTCCTCTGGTCTCTGTCCTCTGGTCTCTGTCCTCTGGTCCTCTGTCCTCTGGTCTCTGTCTCTGTCCTCTGTCCTCTGGTCCTCTGTCCTCTGGTCTCTGTCCTCTGGTCTCTGTCCTCTGGTCTCTGTCCTCTGGTCTCTGTCCTCTGGTCTCTGTCCTCTGGTCTCTGTCCTCTGGTCCTCTGTCCTCTGGTCTCTGTCCTCTGGTCTCTGTCCTCTGGTCTCTGTCCTCTGGTCTCTGTCCTCTCTCCTCTGGTCCTCTCTCCTCTGGTCCTCTCTCCTCTGGTCCCCTGTCCTCTCTCCTCTGGTCCCCTGTCCTCTGGTCCTCTCTCCTCTGGTCCTCTGTCCTCTGGTCCTCTGTCCTCTGGTCCTCTGTCTTCTGGTTGCTTTCGTTCTCCTCTCGTCTGTGGTTGGGGGGAGTTCTGCAGTGCAGCGTCTCCCGCCTGCTGCAGTGCTCCTGCTGATCACAAACTCCTCACTCTGCTTCTCTCACACACGAGGGACTAGAGAGAGCGTCGCCATGGTAACGTACAGTCGCTCACGTACAGCGTCAGCTCCATGTTGTGAAGTCTCGTGAACACACGCTTACGCTAATAGAGTCTGTCTAACCCACATGTTCTACCACACAACGAAACATATGGAAGTAATATGTTTCGTTTTATACCAAAAAATCCTCCTGATGTTGGTGTGGATGGAGCTAAACACAACTCCAGGTCTGAACGAGGGAACAGTACGGTGCATAAGGATTCTTGGGATATTTTTTTGCACTGTACGGGTGAAACATATGTAACACATTCTGTACGATTTTTATTCTATTTATGTATTTTTACTCCTTTTCTCAGACTCGGTTTGAAATTAAATAACAATTAATTTATTTTGTTCAACTGGCAAATCCTTTTACCGTGCTCAGATTCTTAAAAGAAAGTATTTTTAAGTGTGTGGCTTATTGAAACACGTACTTGATTATCGCTTTGTGAATGAGAATAGTGCTTTTTTGAACAATATGGCCGCCCCTAATCGCCAAAGCAACAGCGCTCTCTGGCCTCTCGTACGCCTCTCGTACGCCTCATCGTTTACTTCTGCTTCCTCTGTTGTGTCGCGTTTCTGTGCTTAATCTAATCATTCTCGTTGGGAATTCCGCTTTATTTTGTATCACTTCGTGAACCACCGCGGGGATCGATAGGTTTTACTGCCTCCGTCATCCGATAGTCCACCTGGGATTAGCGCCGGTCACTCCGAGTTAGTGTGGGAAAATGAGGGCTACATCCTCAGCCAGGAGAGCCATGGCAGCTGTGGCGGACATCTTGTGAGTGGAGAAAAAAATTGGCGGATATAAGTATTTTAAAGACACCTACAAAACTTGTTGTGTAATGAAGCTTTCCGAGCAGAAGCAGTTTTTGACCCTTTCCAAGTCTAACCATGAGAATCTGAAATGTTTTCCAGCATAAAATGTATTTGTAAAGCTAGGAAAAATCTGCATGTTGTTATTATTATATGTATGTTACAAATCAAATTACAAATATGTCTTGAGGATAAAAGTTTTGTTTTAAAAATATTAAAATAGAGATCCTTTCTTAGTCCCACAGGGTTGGTCAGAGCAGAGGATCCAACGGGGTCGTGCCATCTTGGAGTAAGAAAATGTAAATGATTCAAACATCCATGAATCTCTCAAAAAACAACTTTAAAAAAGAGATCCACATCTGTCAAGAATGCGACAGATTCGAAACAGAGCGTTCTGTGAGGACAGTTATTAGCATGAATTAAGCAAAAACTAACTCCAGGTCGAACTCCAGATAAAGATCGTAAACAACTGGTGATGTCAGTTGTGCGTCGTGTGTGTCCTTCGTCATGATTCATCGTAATCCAATCAAAATCACACGATTCATCAAATATGAAAGCGTGTTATTCTCTAGTCATTTTGTTTGTTTTCTATTACATTTGTATTACCGCTGTTATTGCTCCATGTTTAAAGCTGGGGTACTCAAATACTGTGAACAAATCTGACCACAACACGCTGGCTTCATTGGTGAGTCACAGAGTGAAGCTCTGAGGGGGGTCCTCTCTTTTACACTTGTCTGTCTGAAAAAGATCTGGGTCTAGTGACAGTTACCTTCATAACTATAGAACACATGTGTAGTCCTGTGAGGCTTTGCTTTTGGATAATTATTTTGAAGCAAGGATTTGTGCCTCAAAGATCCATGTACCTCTGCAATCACCACACTCTGGCCCCAGGCCTCCGTTTATTCAATCAGGGAAGGAGAAAGGGCAGGCCTGCTGGGCAGGCAGGTAGAGGGTTACCCACATATTCATGGAACTACGGTTACATAGGTAACTGTTATATCCATGTCATAATATTTTCTAATGCCCTCCACAGCTTCACTCTTAGCAGAGCCACATGAAGGTTAAGGTACTCCCAGCGGGCAGCATTGACATGATTCAAATACACCCAGAACCCAGCGGCATCATAACAGCATCACTGCACTCTCTGGACATGAGCCGCAAGGAACAGCTGTCGCATCTGCAGAGCTGGACACTGGCAGGTCGTCATGCCGACAGGTGAATCAACATCTTTACGATGAGTTCTTGATTCTCAGAAGACGTTGCTCCTTTAAAAAGAAGCTTACTCTTTCAATCGCTGAAGGAAACAAATGGAGGTCTCGGAGGCTTTTAGGTGTGTTGATTGGAGCGGTACATTATTTGATCTTGGATCCATTGAAATAGAAGGATCTCATTACATTAATCCATTTCTTGTGGTTTAAAATTGTGTACTTTGGACTTGAAGAGAATCCAAAGTTTGTCGCAATGAGATTATTCTATGCCAAAATCGTACAGCCCTCGCCATAACTTTTTCTATGACTTTTCTACTCATCCGGAAACGCAAGATGGCCGCCACAATTACTGCATCTCCCTCTAGTCCCTATTCCAACTGTAGTGAACAGGGCATCAGCGTTTAATGAAGCAGAGTGATTGGCTCCATTTGGCACGCTCAATGCTCCTCTGCTACAGCCCGGGGGAGAGAGACATGGAGAGGGAGGAGAGGGGGAGAGGGACATGGAGAGGGAGGAGAGGGGGAGAGGGACATGGAGAGGGAGGAGAGGGGGAGATTATGGGTGAAGGAGGAATGCGTCGCCTATGTGTGTGTGTGTGAGTGAGAGAGAGTGTGCGCGTGTGTGTGTAATGCTTCTGCCTGAATAAAAAGCACTGCAGGTATAAGACGGTGATGCCATTCCCACGCTTCTCCAGCGGGGGCACTAGCGGCACTGCACCAAGCCAGTCTCCCCTCATCCACTGCAACCCGTGGCGTCAGCGCGCACGCATCAAAGTGACATTCGGCAGAAGGAAGAATGGGCTGCGCGCGTGTGACATCATAACCTTGTAAAAATGTCTATGCATGGGTTTCGGAATGACGAGAAATGAGGGCAGTTGCCATGGGGATTAAAGGAGATGTATCCTGCTTTTTGAGAAGGGTGTTCTGTATTCAGCGGGAGCTCACATAGATCATGACTGTACATTGTGTGTTCACTGTATGCGGCAGAATTGATCGAAAACGGCTTAATACAAAAAATAGAATCACAGTGAGTGGAAGTAAAGAGAAAAGGGGGAAAATGATGAGCTCGCCTTTGCTCCGCCAGTTAAAAAACCCAAAACCCGGTACTTTGGACCTTCCATAGTTGAAGACACACCACTATAAAGAATTCTGTTTCACTGTAGACAATCTAGAAACTAATTTAGATTTTTAAAAAGCTCGGTCCGTGACGTCATACCTTCATCTAAGCAATAAGACAGACGGGTGGAGAATTATGTTCTGGATAATTTGTGTCAGAATTGCCTGATTCTCTCGTGGATTAAGCTCCTAAACTCTCAAGTCTGTTTTTGATGAGGGAATGTGACACGGTTAAAAGACACAAATTAGCATAATATGTCTTCTTTAAGTCATGAAAATGTTTGGCTGCTGTTGGGTCACAGGGGATGTACTCGGTGATCAGCATAACTGCAAATCACAACGCCATCGAACAGGCATAATGATTGTTGTGCACCGGGTCCTTGTCTCCATGGCAACAGCAGAAGGGCTCCTGGATGGTGTGAGTGCGGCAGAGTGTGGTCAAGACAGGGGACGGAGTGGAGTGTGTGTGTGCGTGTGCGTGCGTGTGTGTGTTTGTGTGAGTCTGCACATGTGTGTAAGTGTGTGTGAGAGGGAGTAAGTGTGTGTCTGTGTGTAAGTGACTTTGTGTGTAAGTATGTGTGTCTGAGGGTGCATGTGTGTGTGTCTGTGTGTATGAATATGTGTGTGTAAGTGAGTATGTGTGTCTGAGTGCGTGTGTTTGTGTGTAGAGGTGAGTGTGTGTGTGAATGTGCGCTTGTGCATGTGTGTATGTGTGTATGTCTGTGCGTGTGTGCATATATGTGTGAGTGTGCGCATTTGTTTGGGTGTGTATTTAAGGAGTAGGCTTAAATAGTAGACTTGAGTTTAAGGTGGAGGAGCTCAGAGTAGAGCCACTACTCTCTACAGGAGGAAGTGGCCTCACTGGAGGAAGACCCCAGGGAAGACCCACAACACGAAGGGGGTTTCTGGGGGAGTCTGGGCATCTTTCAGACGCGACAAAGGATGAAGAAGAAGAGAATGGATGAATTTAGGGTTTTCATATTAAAACCATGTTCCCTCAAAAAAAACTGATCTGAGGTCTGACTTTTTACTAGTAAAGTACCAAAAAAAGGAAAAACCTAGCATCTTCACTATTCTGCGTTTTGTCTAAATTACTCGAGACATATTTGATATTGCATCTGTTTTTTAAGTCCATTTTTGCGTAATATGTGTTCTTTGAGGTTGCCCATATCTCGGCGTTGGTGCAAATGATCAGGGATTACAAAGGGATTTTGTGTAGGGAAAAAAAAACGCTATTTATTTTCACAATCATGAAACTAAAGCAACTTCTAAAATGCTTCATTTATGCTTCATTTATCTCACCCCATATGACATAGAAACTTAAAAACAGGATGGCGACTGTTTTTTTTTTTTTTTTTACGAACAATTGTGATGCTAAACTAGACCAGTGATGCTAAACTATGGCTGATGTTTTTGTAAGATAAATCAAGCACATTTTGTTGATCATTTCTTTCTCAAGCTCCATGTCTGTGCTGCGGCTGTCAGCTGTGGAGTACTCACCTTGCATGGGACGGCCATCCTTGTGCGGTCTCGTCAGGTCTCGTTAGGTCTCGTTAGGATTAAGCGCTTTGCCTTATTTGCTTTGTTCTAGTGGCTTGGTGCAAAGTTCTCGGAAGCACTATCGGGTCAGAGGTTGCAGACAGCCTCACGGAGTCTTTCAATGAGTTTTTGGATACGGCTAAAGGTGACATGCTAGGCTAACGGTCAGATGCAATGGAAAGTAACATTTAACGTGCGTGTGACAGGTTGCGATTTTGCTTTGGGACTAAAACCATATGCAAAAGATACAAGATACATTCAATTCAAGAGAGCATTGAAACACATTGAAATTGAAAGATTCTCATACTTGAAAACTTTTGGGTAATTTTGAGACACATGGTAGCTAGCTCAACCCGTGTCACATCCGTTGCGCATGTCCAAACAGGAAGTCACAAAACAAACTGGCCAAAGATTTCAGTCAAATCTGTGACTATAGTCGTCATGGAACTTGTCACAAGCACTTTAAAAGATTGCTGAAAAGTTTTAGACGTAAAACTTCTCCGGGGATAAAACAGACTACAATAGACATAACATGCCACCTTTATTGCATCTTTTTGTGTAAAGCAAGACAACAGCGATGCAGTTGAAATCCAGCTCCTGGTGGGCCGTGCTGTAAGATCTGACCGGAGCTCAGTTCCAGAGGAGAAGGGGGCGGGGCGGGGGTAGCTATGAACTAACCAGTCAGCAACCAGCTCTCGTTTGAGTGGCAGAACAACAAGCCAACCAGAGCACGGAGGACTTTCACTCGGACACTTGCCGATGATCGGTTTGTGAACTTTGAGGCGCTTTGAAGCCAATTCAGCTCGCAACCGTTTTTAGTGAGGTGGGCAGAAGAAACTGTTTTCTGACTATTACTGACATTCCAAGAACAACATAAACTCTTTGAAGCCGTATCATAATATCTATAATAGCTCAACTCTTGAATGAGAAATGGACTCATGAAGAAGACCTGATGCAATGTTTACAAATGGAATCCGGCTCTGTCACAGTTGAACGCTTCTCATCTGAATTTTTTCCATCTTCTTTACCCACTACTGCTGTCAGATGTCATCGGGGCCAATGGAAAAGATAGTTGGCACTTTTTCAGGGCCATGGAAGTCTTAAAGCTCATTTCTGCTCTGCGTTCTGAACCAATTGGCGAGTAGGAAGCGCTGTGGTGGACACATACGTCTTCAGATTGACTGCTCCATGTTCCTTCTTGATCAACTTTAGCGTCTATTTAACTGATCACGTTTGAAAGCTTTGGCTAATGCTAATATATATGGAATGGGTATAACGTTTATGAAAAGTGGTGGGCGACACTGGTTATTTAGTGTTGATGTCGATAGCTAATACACATCCCATCAATTTTGGATTTCATATTTTCTACCTTGGCGTGAAGAATTATATTGCAACCCCATACTAGCGTTTGCATAGAAACTCAAGCAGTAGATGATCGTGTTGTTTGAGTGATCTGCCCAATGTGGATTTAAGCTTATAGTACAAGGTTTATTGCCATAATTTGTGAAGGCTAACGCTTTTGTAGCTTTACTCCAACAATGCCCTGAGCCTTTGGTGCAAAAAGAGGATTTACACATAATGGATGCATTGCTCAATAGCTCATTAAAATTCTCTGTACACAACATCTCTGCAACAAATGGGGCATTGCAGAACCGTACGTGTCTCTCGTTTTATAAAAATATAAGCTCAGTAAGTCAGAAAGAAGCACCGTTTCTGAAAGAAAAGTTGAACAGTCATCTTCAGTTACTCTACCCACCTCTAACGCTCGGATCAAGGCCAAATTCCAGTCCTCAGCATCGCATCCCTGGAAGCACGAAGGGGGAAGGTTTGTGCTTCCAGGGATCGGCCCGGGACGTCAGCGCGGACCGTATCGATAAGTACCCGAGTGAGAGGACACGGGGTGAGAGGAAGAGAAGGACGAGGAGGAGGAGCAAGAGGAGGGGAAGACAGCTGGAGATAGGGTCATTCAATCAGACAGATGGACAAACAGACAAAGACACAAACACAGAGGAAAGACGCCTTTAGATGTTTTGGAACACAGATATACAGAAGGTGGCTGGACAGGGGACAGACACAGACACGCCCAGCCATTGCGGTCTTTCACACGGGAGAGATGGGCAGAGATATATGGGCGCAATGAGTGGGTTTATGTGTGCTGGAGTGTCCCGGTTATGGCAGTACTCTGGATGTGATGGCTACATGTGCTGATATACAGTGTGTGTGGGTTTTATACCGCTCACGTAGATAGTCCACTTGACATTCAACAACATTTATGAACTTTATCAACATTTAAGGACATTGGTCATCTGCCCCTTATGGACCAGTGGCTCTATGTGTTTGTTATCAATGCATTTCTTGTATTTTAACTGTTTGATTCTCTGATCTGTTTTGGCGATTTGAACGGTTTTGTTAAGTCGGCCGAGATTGCGTTCTGTTGTTATTTAGGGAGATACAAAAAGCACGCAATTGAATGTAATTGTCAAGCTCATGTGATTTCAACAACTTGTCTTTTTCAACTAAATTTCACTTGAACATGCAGTATTATAATACGTATTTAGATTCAATTGTTACATATAAGATCAATAAAGTATCTATCTATCAATCTAATTATGTGTATGTTTTGTTAAAGTGAATCTGTTTTTACATGGACACAGTCAAAACCAGAATACTTGAAAAATTCCAATAATAACCGGGACACTCAAGCACGCTTTAGCGCACCCACAGAGGGAAAAAAGAGTGAAGAGATAGACATCATTGAAGGACATTACAAAGAAAAGAACAGGAGAGACATGGACAGACAGACAGACAGACAGACAGACGGAGAGACAGACACATGGTGGAGTGACACTGACCACAAACAGGACTAACACCTGAGGAGAAACGGGCAAAGAACACAGCAGCAGCAGCAGCAGCAGCAGCAGAGGCCCAAGACAGGGAGAGCCCACTGCCCGTTCAACTCCTCCTTTCACTCTGTCTCACAACCAGTGCACTTGTCTCGCTTCTGACACACACATACACACACACACAGACGCACACACACACACACACTCACACACACTGTACATGAAGCTCATTGGCATGCCCCCATAACAGCAAAAACTCTCCTCTTTGATGTGTGCCTGAACCCTGGTGTGGAACCGGTCAGAAATGATGACCAATGAATATTTCTTCAAATCACTTTGGAAAAAAAAATCTCAAAAGTTGTTATGATAAATTTGGGACTAGAACAAAAACACAGTCATTCATAATAAAAGGTGGACATCAACAACAGATGACGTCACCTTGAATCTCCAGTGTTACAAAAAGCATTGGTAAAAAGTCATCTTAAAAAATCCGTTGTGTTTATTTTACATTTCTCTGCGACATTTGAAGAAATATTCCTCAGTTGGTTTTTCTTTGTTGTGAGTTGTATAATGTGTGTGTGTGTGTGTGTGTGTGCGTGTGTTTGTGTGTGGTAGATGGAGCCACACACACATGGATGAGTGTGACATGGACAGCACATGACCCGGCGAAATTCCAGTTTTTCACTTTATTTTAGGAAATAATCCATTTTTTAAGGAGATTCTTAAAGTCATAGTCCATTTTATCTGCTCATTTGATTCAAAAGTCATTACCAGAGCCTACAACCTAATGCATACTTTAACTTTGTCCACAAAAACTAGTGTTAGAAGCCAAATATTTTGAAAGTGAGGAACAAGTGACATGGATTATATCACATACTTCCATCTGTTGGGGTTATAAAGTTAGGAACACCAGCTTTAATCCAAGTCACTCTTTACTTTATGTTGTGCACAGACAGCAACATAAAGTAATTGCAATGCACCAAAAGTTTGAGTTTTCTATCCAAATCCTGAAGATGTAACTCACTGCGATTATTGTCCTGGAATAGTATCTCTCCTTGGGTTTAGGTTGATACCAAATACCCAAGTACAAAAGGAGAGAGAGATGTTTTGATTGACTTTCCTGGTCTTTTATAAATCCACCTCTCACAGCCACAAAGTCACCGGGTCATGGCCACGTGAAACAACGGCGTCGGAGTCACATGAGAACGAGAGAGTGGGAATTTTAACAAAAAATCAACGACTTTTTTCTAACGTGCAAGAACCAGATGCGGAACAATGGGAGAGGGAACCCTGAGCTGTTTGCTGCGAGCGTTTGGTGTGAAAGCGCTTCGGTGTGATGTGCTGAGGAAGGGAAAAGCCGACAGAGGAGGACGAGAGCAGCGTAATGAGCAGGTCTGCAGCAGCCAGCCTCTGCAGTGCTGCTGCAGTGTGCACAGGGACAGACTGGAGGCTCCGCGCAGCACCACCAACGTCCACTCCCAAACCTCCTGGCCTCCTTCAGGACTAGTTTTGGCCTGGGATTAGCATAGCATGTGAGACAGGCCTCCTCTCTGACAATGTTTAAAACCAGGTTAAAGACAGTTCTGTTTAGCTGTGCATACAACTGAGGGATTTTATATTTGTATCTTTCTTTTTAATGTTCTGTGATTATTTATTATTTATTTTAATGCTTTCTTGTTTTGTTCAGCACTTTGAATTGCCTTGTGTATGAATTGTGCTATATAAATAAACTTGCCTTGCCATACACTAGTTCATAAGCTGCAAAAAGTGGTGAGAAATAAGTGAAAAATTGCTCAAATTTGGCAAAATGTTTTTCGTAATTTGAGCATGTTTTGACTGCCTAAAACAGTGGAACTAATGAACTTAAAAAGATATAAGAAATGTCTCCCTTGTAATGAGGAAATGAAGCAACAGGATTAAATGGCTTTGTCCCATTGGAAAATGTAGTTTAAAAACAGTCAGAATGTACTAAAATTAAGATAAATGATTAAGATTCAAGCTATTATTACCTCCAGTGACATTTAAAGCTGGGGTACTGAGCTTTCTTTTCCTCATGTGTAACACACTTGTCACAACAGACAGAGTCATGTGAAAGTAAAATGTTGTGAACAAAACAGACCTGTTATCTGTTGCATACTTCTAAGAAAGAGCCCTGTGTCACTATTGGACTCTTTGGGCTGAGAGCTGATTGGCTGCGTGAGGGTGGTCCTCCCGTTTTGACTTTTCTGTCTGAAAAATCTGATGAAAAGATGTGACAGGGGCCAAAAATACATCATATGAAAACTAGTGTTAGAATAGTTAGTGAACTTTCATCAAAGCTGAGTGACTGGTGTCTCCAGCTCGAAGTAGATCTGCTGCTCCCTTAAAGTTAGGGGGAGGAGCTCAATCATACGTAAAGACCCAGTAAAGAGCCACACGTGAAGAGGAGGCAGTGGGGGTGGCTCGGTCATCAGTTTGGGATGCCTCCTGGACCTCTCCCTGGGGAGGTGTTCTGGGTATGTCCCACCGGGAGGAGACCAGGGGAAGACCCAGGACTCAGAGGGACTGTCTCTCTGGCCTGGGATCCCCCCAGATGAGCTGGAGGTAGTGTGTGTAGAAGAGGAAGTCCGGGTGTCTCTGATCAAACAGCTGTCCCATGCAAACCGGCATCGGATAAAGCGGGAGGGAAAATGGATGGATGATGGATGACAAAACAAACTAATTGATTTACTTAAAGGGGTGGAAGTGGAGGCTTGAATCAGTTAGAACAGGTTGAAAACTTTTTTTATTTCAAGGCAGGGGTTTGTGTGTGTCTGTAAGTGGGTCTTGTCCCAATAAAAAAATATTTGGCCTTTCATGATTTTAAAACCAACAAAATGTCCGGAAATCAAGATTGATTCAACCTAATTCAAGCAAGAGGCATTTGTTGAGGTAGATGCAAAACCCGCTAAAAATGAGTGTGATGAAAATGAAAGTGAAAGTATGTTGGTGTGACAGTCGTGTGTGGTTCCTGTGTGTGTGTGTGTGTGTGTGTGTGTGTGTGTGTGTTTGTGTGTGTGTGTCTCTACTCATGTCTTATACTGATGAAATCAATAACACTGCCAAGTGTACAAGGAAAATACAATTAAACTAAAGCGCCATTTCCACCAGCCCTTCTCGGCTTTACTCTTCTCCGATTTGGAGTGATTCCATTGGCCCTGTTTAACCAGTACCAGGTCTTTCTTTAGTCCCTCTTGGTCCTGGTTCTATCCAGGCCGAGCTGATACTAAAGTGTTCTAACTGACAGTGATTGGCCAGAGTGCTGCTGGAAGACATGTTACCAAGGAATGTCCAGGGATACTCGTTTGTTGGTGTAGGTTGCTAGGATACAGTAACAGATACTAAAGCGGGACCAGGTAGAGTGCTTTTATGTCAGCAGGGGGCCATGTTACTGACACAAACGTTCACAACTTTCTTGTAAATTGACAGTTTAGTCATTTGAAAAACCACAGACAGCATCAGTATAAGAGCATTCAGAGCTCAGTGCGGTGAGGTGTGTGCTTGGTGCCCTCCCTCCTGCCCGCTCAGCTCCACACATGCACCACCCTCACCCCCTCTGACCTCCCCCTCCCCATCCCCCCTCCTCCCTACCTTTGCGGACGTTGGCGTCGGAGGGCCTCTGGAACTCGCCCGCGCTCAGCAGGAAGCAGGCGCGGTCGTGGGGGTAGCGCTCACGGCTGGTGTTGGAGCCCAGGCCCCCGGTGGCTGGGCTGCGCTCGTCCCCCAGCACCTGGTCGATGGTGGGACAGTCCTCGTTGGCTAGAGCAGCGTTCGCAGCGTCGCCGTTCTGCTTGGAGTCTGCGCGCAACAAGAGAGAAGGTTAGTGACGGGATTGGATTCACCGGTTTGCTTCAATACATTCCACTTCTTTGCCTTTAAAGAGCAATATGTAAAAATCTGGCCAAACGTGGTACTGCAATCACGGCCAATGTACTCAAGTTGCCAGATTTGCAGACAAACCCAGCTGGGACCATAACAGCTGAATAGACAAGAGTTTTGTCAACAACAAATCTATAACCAACACTTATTTCACAAATATAAAAATCCTGGTTTTATTCCTTGTTTTGTCGTTAATGATTTGAGAATCATAACGAGACCTTTTTTAGTTCTGTGACCACACAGTACTTTACCAGTGAGATGAGCGGGACAATGAAATGAAAACAAAAACAAGATTTATCAGTTAAAAAAGTACTTGAAAAGACCATGTTTTTATCAATGCCTTTTACAGATTAGGGCCCTTTAATGATGAAAATCGTACATATTGCTACTTACTCCACTACTCTTTATGAGTTTTTGCAGGATTCTTTGTAAGCACGACTACATTATTACATATTCATCTGATAACTCTGCTCTGATAATTCACTAGTCACTTTACCTGCTGATGTTGTTACTATTGTTTTTCTGGTCATATTTTCTGCTGCTAAAGAACAAAACCAGCCATCGGTAAATGCCTCGTGAAAAGTGCTAGAAATACGGTGCATACTCCACAAGTGACTTATCCTTGAACCAAGTGTAATTATAGCTTGGAGTTTTATTATTTTATGATCTATTATCTTAAATAATATTAAGTAAGTAATGTTTATGTACAGTATATAGAGCATTTTACAATCCATGGTCACCCAAAGTGCTTTACAGAGTTCCGAGTTCAGATAATTTTTTCCATTCTTTCCACACAGTGATTGCCGCACACACTGCAGCATCAAAGCCCCAAACCCCATCCATTCACCTTTTGTACATGTTTTTAGTGGTAGGGGGAACTGGAGCGCCTGGAGGAAACCTACACAGACACAGGGAAAACAGGCAAACTCCACACTAAAAGGCCCGGAGGTGGAATCGAACCCAGGACCTTTTTGTCACCCTCATAGAACCTGTTTGAAGTGTGCATAACCTGAGTGCTCTGAGTTTCTTCTCTGCCGTAACGTGTGGAATAATAATATTGACATTTCCCACCGAGGGACGAATAACGGTTTATCTTGTGTTTTATATAACGTTGCCCAAAACACTTTCTTCTTCCTGCTCATGTTCGTCATCCAACACATCATCAGCAAACACAGTTCTGTTCTATGAACTCAGTGCCTTGTGTTTCACTGATGCTTTGGGATCATTAGGTTTGTCAAGTTTACCATACCATTGTACTCATTTCATTTTGTACCTAGGTCTGGATTTGCTCCATTGAGCTCTATAAACAGGTGGGAGGGGTTAACACCTTTTGCAGATTGAAACGATTGGATCTGAGTTTACCGCGACGTATGTAATGCGCCTGAGTGAGTGAGGCATTTATATTTTGAGTACAGTAACAATATATTTGCAGCAATGACATTTGCTAAACTTTCCTCTTACTCCGGCTTCAATTTCTTGATATTTGGAGCCGAACCAGAACAGATTACTTTACTGTCCCATTCGTCGCCAAACTACAACCAGCAAATTCGTCGCAAACTCTTGACGTCACCGACCTGCTTCACAGCTGTACCTGAGCTCCACCGGTACTGTTGTGTGTGTGTGTGTGTGTGTGTGTGTGTGTGTGTGTGTGTGTGTGTGTGTGTGTGTGTGTGTGTGTGTGTGTGTGCGTGTGTGTGCAAGAGCTTGTGTGAGAGCCTGTGTGTGTGTGCGTTCTTATGTGGATTGGGGTGGGTCTGTTGGGTGGTCGGGGGCGGGGTCATGGGCGGGATTGTTTTTAACCAAACTGTAAAGCACTTTGTGTTGAATCTTCTGCATGAAAAGCGCTTTATAAATAAAAAGTGATTGATTGATTAAGGTACAAGCATGTGGAGCACAGGTACAGGTGTGAAGCATGAGGAGCACAGGTACAGGTGTGAAGCATGTGGAGCACAGGTACAGGTGTGAAGCATGAGGAGCACAGGTACAGGTGTGGAGCACGTGGAGCACAGGTACAGGTGTGAAGCATGAGGAGCACAGGTACAGGTGTGAAGCATGTGGAGCACAGGTACAGGTATGAAGCATGTGGAGCACAGGTACAGGTGTGAAGCATGAGGAGCACAGGTACAGGTGTGGAGCATGAGGAGCACAGGTACAGGTGTGGATCATGTGGAGGACAGGTACAGGTGTGAAGCATGAGGAGCACAGGTACAGGTGTTAAGCATGAGGAGCACAGGTACAGGTGTGGAGCATGAGGAGCACAGGTACAGGTGTGAAGCATGAGGAGCACAGGTACAGGTGTGAAGCATGTGGAGCACAGGTACAGGTGTGAAGCATGAGGAGCACAGGTACAGGTGTGGAGCACGTGGAGCACAGGTACAGGTGTGAAGCACGAGGAGCACAGGTACAGGTGTGAAGCATGTGGAGCACAGGTACAGGTATGAAGCATGTGGAGCACAGGTACAGGTGTGAAGCATGAGGAGCACAGGTACAGGTGTGGAGCATGAGGAGCACAGGTACAGGTGTGGATCATGTGGAGGACAGGTACAGGTGTGAAGCATGAGGAGCACAGGTACAGGTGTTAAGCATGAGGAGCACAGGTACAGGTGTGGAGCATGAGGAGCACAGGTACAGGTGTGAAGCATGAGGAGCACAGGTACAGGTGTGAAGCATGTGGAGCACAGGTACAGGTGTGAAGCATGAGGAGCACAGGTACAGGTGTGGAGCATGTGGAGCACAGGTACAGGTGTGAAGCATGAGGAGCACAGGTACAGGTGTGGAGCATGAGGAGCACAGGTACAGGTGTGGATCATGTGGAGGACAGGTACAGGTATGAAGCATGTGGAGCACAGGTACAGGTGTGAAGCATGAGGAGCACAGGTACAGGTGTGAAGCATGAGGAGCACAGGTACAGGTGTTAAGCATGAGGAGCACAGGTACAGGTGTGGAGCATGAGGAGCACAGGTACAGGTGTGGAGCATGTGGAGGACAGGTTCAGGTGTGAAGCATGTGGAGGACAGGTACAGGTGTGACGCATGTGGAGCACAGGTACAGGTGTGAAGCATGAGGAGCACAGGTACAGGTGTGGAGCATGAGGAGCACAGGTACAGGTGTGGAGCATGAGGAGCACAGGTACAGGTGTGGAGCATGTGGAGGACAGGTACAGGTGTGAAGCATGTAGAGGACAGGTACAGGTGTGAAGCATGTGGAGCACAGGTACAGGTGTGAAGCATGTGGAGCACAGGTACAGGTGTGGAGCATGTGGAGCACAGGTACAGGTGTGGAGCACAGGTACAGGTGTGGAGCATGTGGAGCACAGGTACAGGTGTGGAGCATGTGGAGCACAGGTACAGGTGTGGAGCTGCAGGAGGCCGTATGGATCGCTCTCTCACCACAATGAAACCACTCGCCACAATCACAGCCACGATCAAATATGAATGAATGAAGTGAGCAGAGCGCTGTAAACCGACACTCTCTGAGGGACCACTGCACACACACACACACACACACACACACACAGACACACACACACACACACAGACACATACACACACAGACACACACATACACACACACACACACAGACACACACACACACAGACAGACAGACACACAGACACGCACACACATACATAGACAGACAGACAGACACACACACACAGACAGACACACAGAGACACGCGCACACACACACAGACAGACAGACACACAGACACGCACACACACACACATACATAGACAGACAGACAGACACACACACACAGACAGACACACACAGACACGCGCACACACACACATACATAGACAGACAGACAGACACACACACACACACAGACAGACACGCGCACACACACACATACACGCACACACACACACATACACACACAGACACACACATACACACACACACACACATACAGACAGACAGACACACAGACACGCACACACACACACATACATAGACAGACAGACACACACACACACACAGACAGACACGCAAATACACACACAGACGCACACATACACACGCACACACAGACGTGTACAAACACAAATAGACACACACATGTACATACATACGCAGACACGCTCACACATACACACACGCTTATACACACACACACATATACGAAGACAGACACATGCACACACTTTCACAGACAAGAGTCACATAGCACTTTACAAATGGTAGCATTATACACACACTTTGTACTGTACTTTTGAACAAAGTTTGACAATTATTGAACCTAGTTTTAGTGGTAGTGGAGATGGAAGGAAGCCGACATAGACACAGAGAGAACATGCAAGCTCCACTCAGAAAGGTTCTTCTCTGGATTTGAACACAGGACCTGGGAGTGCTAACCACTCAGCTACCATTCTGATCCGATACACGAAAATCAGCCTTTATCACCGACTCATTTGTTAAACCGCTTTAATTCTCCATCACGTCATCTTCAAGAGTCTGATGCGGAGTCGTGGCGTGGCAGAATGATGTCATCACACGCCCTCACACGTTAGCCCGTCACACGTTAGCACGTCACACGTTAGCCGTGGAGCAAACGCGGACACAAGCAGAATAAAGACGTGTATTTGTGTGTTTGGAGTTTACTCAGAATAAGATTTCAGCCGATTGATACAAAATACAGTTTTAGTGAAAAGAAAATCCATAATAAAGGGAATAATATACAGAAAATCTATCTATAGCTTTCTGATCTGTTACATAAGTATTGGGACTGGCTTGGGTTGGGACTGGCCTGGTTGGGACTGGCCTGGGTTGGGACTGGCCTGGGTTGGGACTGGCTTGGGTTGGGACTGGCCTGGGTTGGGACTGGCCTGGGTTGGGACTGGCTTGGGTTGGGACTGGCCTGGTTGGGACTGGCCTGGTTGGGACTGGCCTGGGTTGGGACTGGACTGGGTTGGGACTGGCTTGGGTTGGGACTGGCCTGGTTGGGACTGGCCTGGGTTGGGACTGGACTGGATTTCGATTCTCCTGGAATGGGACTGGCATGGGATGGGACGGGACTGGATTAGGATTCTCCTGGAATGGGACTGGCTTGGGCTGGGACTGGCCTGGTTGGGACTGGACTGGATTAGGATTCTCCTGGAATGGGACTGGCATGGGATGGGACGGGACTGGATTAGGATTCTCCTGGAATGGGACTGGCCTGTGTTCGGACTAGCCTAGTCTTTTTGCCGAGTTCTGAACTCACTGAAAATGTTTTGCAATAATCTAGACACAATATCAAAAAAAAGTGTTCTCGGCCTAAACCCACACACAGCAATAATGACCGAGCGACGAACATTGCGAGCGGTAATTCTCTTAATTACGTGGGTTATGTTTTCCCCAGGGTTTGTCTGTCTGTTTGCAACACAAACTATTTTTTTGGGGATTTGTTCAGAATTCCATTGATTTGACTGGGAGCCTCTGGGAGTTCTTGTGGTTTCGGGATTCTGAGAGTCCAAGTGTTTAGGGACGAAATGATTATGTTTGTGTTGAACTCTGTGAAGCTTCTGATCTGTTAGTGCAGGAAAGCGACGCTCAGAGCCATAAATCCCTGCGCTGCTTTCACGTGTGCGCGCCGCCATCCGTCACGCCGGCGCTGATTGTGTGTCAGTGCGCCACTCCTGACCGACATGTGTGTGTGTGTGTGTGTGTGTTGATTAGCTATGCGCAGAGTGCGACGGTCACAGGGAGAAAAGTGGGGGGTTTTTTCTGCTATTTTGTGTCCTGTAAATGAAAGTCTATTTTTGTGCCCGGAACAGAGACATCAGCAGGTTATTTACACAATCCCCTCTCCACTCCCCCCTCCACTCCCCACCTCCCCCCACATTCTGCCCATGTCTGCTCCATGTTCCCCTCACGATTTATGGGACTACTTTGGGACTCTGCTGTGCGTGCACTTCTCAGAATAACTTCTGTTACAACAAAACACAAAGGGCCAAACACTGATTCATCTAATTGTGCCATGTTCAGATCAACTGAAACTATTCAGTGAGGACCCTTTAGCTGTGAGGGCCAACTGCACCTTCCTGCTCTTTAACGGGACCTTTAACTTATACATGTCCAACTGAGGCATTATGTCATTTTTGAGCTTCATGTCTATATCAACCATAAATCGTTTCATTAATGCATGGATACTGTAGTGTAACGGTGATTATCTAATGATCCCTCCATCCATTTTCTTCCCTTTAATCCATTTCTGGTTTGGGGGGGTGGCAGTCAGAGCTGCACCCTGTCCACAGAGCGCCAGCCCCTCACTGATCCTCCTGCAGGTGCTGAGTCCACAGGAGCCTGAAGTGTGGGGCTTCAGGCAAAGTGGGTTTAAGTGTCTTGCCCAAGGACACAACGACAGCAGCCATCAGTGGGAGTATGTAGTAATAATAATAATAATAATAATAATAATAATAATAATGCATCCATTATATATAGAGCGTTTTTGGACACTCAAAGACACTTCACATCTCATTATTCATTCACGTGGTGAAAAACTACTACCGTAGCCACAGCTGCCCTGGGGCACACTGACAGAAGCGAGGCAACCAGTCTGTGCCATCGGCCCCTCCCACCATCACCAACCATCCACACATACACCAGACTCATTCTAGGCAATGTGGGTGAAGTGTCTTGCCTGAGGACACAATGGCAGTTTGCCACTTTACAGCCGCAGCCGCCCCACAGTGGCACCTGATATTCCCAGAAGATAAGTGTCTTCCCCAAGGATGTGGCATCTGGCTTTCGGATGCAGGTGGTGCCACAAACTAGGGAACGATAGCAGAGAGCATCAGTGGAGTCGGTGGAGAAAGTCTTGTGGTGGGCTCGAGCCCATGACCTTCAGGCTCAAAGGCATCTACCAACTGAGCCACTGTCGCCCCTAACATGTGCTGTATGTGAGTTCTCCCTGATGATTGGCTGTAGTTATTATACAGAGTTGTATTACGACTGCTAAAGGGAGTAGCTTTCTGCCATTTCTGTTGTATGAAAGTAGCTCTCCAAATCAAAAGGTTGGAGACTCGTGCTATCGGGCATCTGTCTGGAGCAGGGGTCCCCACGGCACAGCGCCCCGGGGTCTCCAGATGTTGATGCTCTTGGTCAGGACTGGAGCTGAATGATTTGGCCTTTTGTCATGTTTTGAGTGGCACCCGGAGGAAACCTACACAGAGTCAGGGAGAACATGCAAACACCACTCAGAAAGACCCTGTTCCAACCAGGATTCAAACCTAGGACCTTATTACTGAGAAGCGAGAGCGCTAACCACTCTGCCACTCTGAGCATAGACATTCCAATAACAGCAAAGAAATGTATCTTGCACCAATTCAACCATATTTAGGTCAAGAAAAAAAGAATAATAACATAATAATTCCAATAACTCAATATATGGTTTTATCAATCGCTTTGTAACAATAAAATCTGACCAATCCGAGCATCGACGTCTGGAGACCGGTCCCTGGGCGCTGGACTATCATCATCTAACGCGGCACAATAAAGCAAAGAACCAGAGTGACCTCCCAAAACTCATTTGGAGGCAATACTTTTGTTTTAAAAGTCAAAAAACAGCTTTGTCCATGATGTCAGCACAAGAATTTGACTTTGAAAGGATAGAGCTAAAAACAGCTGCTCTATTTTTGATGAAAGAACAATAATGGACCATGAAACTAAATAAAGACTATTATGCATGTGATGAATTATCTAAGAGTTTAAATATTCTTTCCACAATATAAACGTGTCCTCTCATCACGACAGAACCAGAGTGTGTCACATCTGCTGCTGTTCAACCAGAGAGTTACAAACAAACTTAAAACAACTTATGGCATGGGTTTTCTACAGCTCTTTTTGACGATCATCATTCATTCACTCCATACACAGTGGTGATAAACTCTAGCCACAGCTGCCCTGTGGCTCACTGGCAGAAGCAACCAGTATGTGCCGTCGGCCTCCCCACCACCACCAACCATTCACGCAAACTACAGACTCATTCTAATGTGGGTCAAGTGTCTTCCCGGAGGACACATCGACAGTTTGGCAGCCTCCCTACTGTGGCAACTGCTGTTCCCAGAGGTCACCCATCACAGTGCTAACCTGGCCATGCCCTGCTTAGCTCCAGAGGTTTGATGGGATCTGGCTTTCAGATGCCGGTGGTGTCACAAACTAGGGAACTAGGCATGATTTTTAGAGAAGCCTTCAATTTGAACATATAATCCAGACATGTCCAAACTCAGGGCCGCGGGCCAATTGCGGCCCTTTGTGGCCTTTTATTTATCTTATTTATTTATTTATAGGATAAACCCCTTGAGATGAATCATCTCTTTTTCAAGGGGGTCCTCAAGATTTCACGAGGTGACAGATACAGCCTTCTGCAACCAATACAGTCATGCTGTACCTTGCTGTTTATCTCAGAGCCTCAATTAAGACGTATTGTAGAGATTTCATAACACTTTTAAGCAACTGTGGTTAAAGTTCAAACTCTTCATTCTTCATTTACAGAAGCCTGTACTTTTCCACTTGATGTTTTGATACTGAAGGCCAAGCTACAAGCACACTGTGGGAGCTGCTGATTGGAGGTCTGTTTCTCCTGAGTATATTACCACTGGCATTTTCTTACATTCTTGTTCGTGCTTTGTTCATGCTAGCTCTACCATCCACAATAAAACATGTCTTCTGTCTGAATTAAAGACACGATCCTAGACTTTGGCTGATTCCTAACAGTATCATAACCCATTTTAAATTCCAGAATCCAGAATAAAATGTTTTCTAATAAGATGAAGCCTGTTGTAGTCTGATTTGTTCACATTATTATATCTTTACAAACTTCAAAAAGTTAGACACCCGAAACTTTAAATGATATTATTGTCAGTGCATTATAGGTCTACTTAAAAACAGCTTGCTCTTGTATCGGGCGGATCCAAACAGGTACGAGGGCCGGTACCGGGGAATCATGAATCAACCAATGAGAATGAGGAGTATATTTTAAAACATAAACGTTGGTTGAGTTAGAGGGTCAACTGAGAGACCTGAACCAATTTTCCTCCTGTCCTACTCGGCCATGCTCTACTCTGCTCCACTCTACTCGGCTCGGCTCGGCTCTACCTGGTTGTGTTTCCATTGTGCTCTAGTATCTGATCCTGTATCCTAGCAACCTACCCACAACAGAACCAGTATGGGGGAATTTCTTTGCAGCAATCTTTCTTACCAGCTCGACTGGATAAAACCAGGGCCAAAATGACTAAAAAGGTACCTGGTAAACTTAAAAACTGTTTTCTCTTGTATTGGGCTGATCTAAACTCATGAACCAACCAATGAGAAAGTGAGGAGTATACTTTGAAACTTAAATCTCTTTTTTATACAAAATCAATGATAACGTGATCAGCGCTCAAAAGCTCACCTGCCCTGTTGATCTCGATGATCTCCTCTTGGGCCAGCGGACAGTCTCCAGTGCCCATCATGCTGCCGGAGCCCACCATGCCCGGCCCCAGCACATTACCCATGAGCCTGTGCGGCGAGGCGGTGGCCATGGCGAGCGCGTCAGGCTTGCAGTAGTTGGGACTCCCCGGCTGCGGCGCCCGCGGGATGTGCTTGTTCCTCTTCTTGGGCAGCTTCTGCTTGGCCATGGCCAGAGAGTAGTACATGCCAAAGTTGTTGACGATGACGGGCACGGGCATGGCGATGGTCAACACGCCAGCCAGAGCGCACAGAGCCCCCACCAACATGCCCGACCAGGTCTCCGGGTACATGTCCCCGTAGCCCAGCGTGGTCATGGTCACCACAGCCCACCAGAACCCGATGGGGATGTTCTTGAAGTTGGTGTGGGCAGCCGCAGTCGGATCGTCCGGGTCGGCTCCAATGCGTTCGGCGTAGTAAATCATGGTGGCGAAAATGAGCACGCCCAGAGCCAAGAAGATGATGAGCAGGAGGAACTCGTTGGTACTGGCGCGTAGGGTGTGGCCGAGCACACGCAGCCCGACGAAATGCCGGGTCAGCTTGAAGATACGCAGGATCCGCACGAAACGCACCACACGCAGGAAGCTCAGGATGTCTTTGGCGGTCTTGGAGGACAGGCCGCTCAGAGCCACCTCCAGGTAGAAGGGCACGATGGCCACAAAGTCGATGATGTTGAGCGCGCTGCGGAAGAACTCGGCCTTGTCCGGGCAGAAGACCACGCGCGCCATCACCTCAATGGTGAACCAGATGACGCACACGCCCTCCACGTACGTGAGCCAGCCATCGGTCACCACCTCGTACACGATCTGTAAGGCAGAGCACAGCGGTCAGACCCAGGGAGGGGACATCAGCTTCACCGATACAGTCAGCAACAATTCATGCCCCGCCATATAACCACAAAGTGCACAAGTCACTAATTGGCTATTTTGGTGATGATCCAGGACGGTCGACATTCAACGATATTTATGGACATTGGTGATCTGCCCCTTCTGGACAAATGGCTTTATGTGTTTTTTAATCATTGCATGTCTTGTGTTCGAACTGTTTGATTCTCAGCAGCTTTGTAAAATCCTCCGAGATCACTGTTGTTGTGATTTGGGGCTATTCAAAAATATATTTTTTTAGATCTGATGCCTTATATCTAACAAGGATTGGACCTCAGGAAGACTAGCAACCATGTGTGGAAGCAAATGGGGATCCAAATTAATAAATGCAATTAAGTTTTTTACTTAATGCACATGTTTTATGTAACACATGCATTAGTGAGATCAACAAAGTTTTATCGTCCGTGCAGCAGAGTTCACCAAGCGTTGGATTGTTCACCCACTAATAGGGAACGTGAGCTGGGTTTAGACCGTCGTGGAACAGGTTAGTTTATGATTACTGATGATGTGTTGTTGGAATAATAATCTGTGTTCTGTCAGTGACTGGATCAGACTTTTTCACAAAATAATAATAATCAAAATAAGTGTGTTACAGATACAGTACTGGCAAATGGAGACTTAGTGCACTTTCCACCTTTTGACGGATGTACAGGGATTAGTTAGTTATACAAAGACTTCAAAGGTTCAGAGCATTTCCATTGGGTGCTGTCCCCTCGGAAAACGTGCTCATAGGGACAGAGATTGGCATGAGTTCAATCTGCTTTATTATCACTGATACATGCTTTTAATGCACAACATCTGAACAAAACCAAACAGGAAATACATTATTTTTCTGTTGCCGGGTTGTGAGGGGGGCAGTCTAAGCAGAGATTCAAGATTCAAGATTAATTTATTATGTCCCGTTGGAAATTTGTCTTGGACTCACAGGCTGCTACATTGAAAATACACATAAGACAGACAGTAGCACCGACATAAACCATCCTCGCTCTGCTCGATGGCCTGATGAGTTCTTATACCGGTTTAGTCTCTTCATGAACTCTTTCCCCAGCTCATCCGGGGGAATCCCAAGGAGGTACGGTTAGAGGGTCGGCTGAGAGACCTAAACCCCTTTTCCACCAGCCCTACTCGGCCATACACTCTGCTCTACCTGGTTGCGTTTTCATTATGCTTTAGTATCTGGTACTGTAGTCTACCCAAAACATGTTGTGGAAATATCTTGGTAACCATGGCTTCCAGGTGAGTTATTTAGTACCAGCTCGGTTTGGATAGAACCAGGACCAAGCAGGTTCTAAAAGGTAGCTGGTACAGGTGGAAACACTTCCAGAGCTGAGTAGAGTAGAGTAGAGCTGAGTAGAGTAGAGTAGAGTAGAGTAGAGTAGAGCAGAGCTAAGTGGATTTTATGTCACTTAAAAAAAAAGACCAAAAAAAAGTTAAAACAGGATTAATAAAGTTTTGTGGATTGAAGGACAGAGAAAAGCTTTTTTTCAACTGGACAACCACACTGATAACGGTTCACTTCATTCTTCACAGATGAGAGTCAAAAAAGTCTCTTTCCGGTGTTTGTGTGATGTGAAAATGTGAAAAAACTCATTTGCGGATGCGTTAGCCGCCATAAGCTCATTGATTTAACAGGTGCCTTCAAAACTTCACAGCGCCTAAACTAGACTGGTCCCAATAAAAATACTCCCCTCAGCATTGACACACATGTGAAACTTGGGCCCCAACGAAATTGGACCAGGCTGTGAAGCCGTTTTCGAGAGCAAAGAAGATGCCATACAAAAGCATAGGGTCATTCTCTTTCTGGGTACACCCCCACCAGCTTATATTGGGATTGCAAGTCTGTCAGCGCACGTGCTCAGTGACCTTTTAGAGCTGGACTGGCCACATCCAGAAACAACAGCAGACCAGGGACACGTGTCTAAGGCAGAACTCCACAGCCCAAACATGTTGCAGGACTGGCTTCTTTACACTTTTGTCTCACTAAAGAACCTTAAAGCACTTTATACTGTACATTTGGTCTGGAGAACTTGCTGTGGGAGTGTGTCTGCGCAGAGCCCTCACCTCCTCGCGGGTCACGTTCCCCACGGTCACGTTCTCCGTCTTGTTGTAGATGGTGTTGAAGACCTCATGTGTCTCCAGGCAGAAGGTGGAGATGGAGAGGAGGATGAAGAACAGCGACGCTAAGGCCACGTACTGCACACACACAGGGAACACAGCACAACGTCAGACAATCATCCTACATGTGTCGTGATGCCAAACTCAGCGCACACGCCCAGGAGAACATAAGAAAACAGATATAGTAAGAAGGTAGCAAGTCATCTTTATCTGCATAGCGCATTCACAGACCAAGGACACACTGTGGAAACCATAAATGAATATTGGAGCAAAGAGAGGTGCAGAACTTGTCTCTCTTTTAGACCATGCAAACAGAGAAAGGCCTCACACTTGATCACGGTTAAATTCAGTTTAATTTGATTCAATTCAAATTATTTTAGAATATAATTATAAATATAAATCATAACAGCATCGTCTCTTTATATGAAGTTCAGAATTTAACAGTTCAAACAGGAAATACAATAATAACAAACACACAGGAGCCATTGGTCCATGGGGGCCTATGGTCTCAAACACGCGACCCACGGGCCATTAGCGGCCAGCAATAGGTATTTTGTGGTTCCCAAGTGGACCTCAAAGTTTAATGTGAATGTGGCCCGCACTCTGGGCTGATGTTGCTCAATGAGTTATCTCTGAGGATTACTAACTACTGTTGTGATTTAGGACGTTTTAGAAAAATACGTTTTATTTAACTGTATAGTCCATGTGTCCTTAGGCAAGACACTTCATCCACATTGCCTAGAATGAGTCTGGTGTGTGTGTGAATGGTTGGTGGTGGTCAGAGGGGCCGATGGCATATACTAGTTGCCTCGCTTCTGTCAGTGTGCCCCAGGACATCTGTGGCTACAGTAGTAGTTTAGCACCAATATGTTTGGAGTGAAAGAGTAATGAACTGTTGAACTCTGTATAAAACTGATACATTATAGATATTTAAAGAGAATCAAGACTGTGCCGACTCTTCCATTGATAAACCTACTCCAGAACCGGCAAAATACTGCAAAACAAGACAAACGCTACCACTATCACTCATCCACCACCTCACGAATCACAGCCACATCCCTCACACGGACTGAAAGCAGCACATATGACCTTCTCCATTCCCCGTTTGTTCCAATGCAGCAGAGTGGAGGCAGAGGAGGAATGCGACTCTAATAAACCCAATATCCTGAGTGCTGCATTGATAGGCGCAGGAAGCCCATATATGTACGGGGGTGGAGGAGCGCGCGCGCGTGTGTGTGTGTGTGTGTGTGTGTGTGTGTGTGTGTGTGTGTGTGCACGTGTGTGTGTGTGAGTGTCTGATGGATGGACGGTGTAAAAAGCTCGGATCGATGATTATCCGCGCAGTGGTTGGGTCCCGTTCCGCGGCTTTACGGAGCGTGTCATGCTGGCTGTTATTTTTTTATTTATTTTTACGACGCTCACGGGTGCGTAATACCCCATCCCCCTCCCCCCACACCCCCCACACCCCCCGCCTCGCCAGCCCCCTACCCTCACACCCGTCCCGCTCTGGCTTTATGCAGAAGGCTGCAGGATCTCGGAGAAAAGAGAGAGAGAGAGAGTGAGAGTGCGTGTGTGCGTGTCCGTGCGTGCAATGGGTTTCAATGAGGTTGCCGCAAGATTTAGCTGGCGTAGTAGTGGCAGAGTGGTTAACGTCTGTAGATTTATAAGGTACATTGTAACCGCTGAAGCAGTTTTCGCCAAACGCATTCCGCCTCCATCGGGACATATAAATACATAGAGATCGGATCATACGGTGCAACGGTGCATTATCTGTGGTCATTTTGTGCCTTAGAACAGGATCTTGAGAAGAGTCAATTCATGTTTTTAAAATGGGATGATTTCTTTTGTTGGCAATATATATTTGAACGCAACGAGAGATGGCCAGAATTAGAGAAGTAGTAGTCAAAAAAGGAGAGAGAGAAGCAAATAATTACATCCATCCATCCATCCATTTTCTTCCGCTTTATCCGTTGCCGGGTCGCGGAGGCAGCAGTCTAAGCAGAGACGCCCAGACTTCCCTATCCACACACACTTCCTCCAGCTCGTCCGGGGGGACCCCAAGGCGTTCCCAGGCCAGCTGAGAGACATAGTCCCTCCAGCGTGTCCTAGGTCTTCCGCGGGGCCTCCTCCCGGTGGGACGTGCCCGGAACACCTCCCCAGGGAGGCGTCCAGGAGGCATCCGGAACAGATGCCCGAGCCACCTCAACTGGTTCCTCTCGACGTGGAGAAGCAGCGGCTCTACTCCGAGCTCCTCCCGTGTGACTGGGCTCCTCACCCTATCTCTAAGGGAGCGCCCAGCCACTCTGCGGAGGAAGCTCATTTCGACCGCTTGTATCCGCGATCTCGTTCTTTCGGTCATTACCCAAAGCTCATGACCATAGGTGAGGGAGGGGACGAAGATTGACCAGTAAATTGAGAGCTTGGCCTTTCGGCTCAGCTCCCTCTTTACCACAACGGTCCGATACAGCGACCGCATCACTGCGCACGCTGCACCGATCCGCCTGTCAATCTCACGCTCCATTCTTCCCTCACTCGTGAACAAGACCCTGAGATACTTGAACTCCTCCACTTGAGGAAGGACCTCTCCACCCACCTGAAGAGGGCAAGGCACCTTTTTCCGGTCGAGCACCATGGCCTCAGATTTGGAGGTGCTGATTCTCATCCCAGCCGCTTCACACTCGGCTGCAAACCGTCCCAGTGCATGCTGCAGGTCCTGGTTTGTTGGAGCCAACAGGACAACATCGTCCGCAAACAGCAGAGATGAAATCCTGTGGTCTCCGAACCGGACCCCCTCCGACCCCTGGCTGCGCCTAGATATTCTGTCCTTAAATACAGTGAACAGAACCGGTGACAAAGGGCAGCCCTGTCGGAGGCCAACATTCACCGGGAACAGGTCTGACTTACTGCCGGCAATGCGAACACAGCTCTGGCTCCGGTCATACAGGGATCGGATGGCCCTCAGCAGAGGACCCCCGACCCGGTACTCCCGGAGAACCCCCCAAAGGACACCCCGGGGAACACAGTCGAACGCCTTCTCCAAATCCACAAAGCACATGTGGACAGGTTGGGCGAACTCCCATGAACCCTCGAGTATCCGATGGAGAGTATAGAGCTGGTCCAGTGTTCCGCGACCGGGACGAAAACCACACTGCCCCTCCTGGATCCGAGATTCGACCATCGGCCGTAGCCTCCTCTCCAGTACCTTGGAGTAGACCTTACCGGGGAGGCTGAGGAGTGTGATCCCACGATAATTGGAACACACCCTCCGGTCCCCCTTCTTGTAGAGAGGGACCACCACCCCGGTCTGCCACTCCATTGGCACTGCCCCCTCTTCCCGATCACCCCTCTCCAAGTGTCACTGGCGTTTCCCACATGGGCGTTGAAGTCCCCCAGGAGAATAACGGAGTCCCCGGGCGGTGCACCGTCCAGTACCCCTCCCAAGGACTCCAAGAAGGCCGGGTACTCTGCACTGCTGTTAGGCCCGTAGGCCGTCACAACAATGAGAGACTTGTCCCCCACCCGGAGGCGGAGGGACGCGACCCTCTCATTCACCGGGGAGAACTCCAACACGTGGCGGCTGAGATGGGGGGCAATGAGAATGGCCACCCCAGCTCGCCGCCTCTCCCCGCGGGGAACTCCAGAAAAGTGGAGCGTCCAACCCCTCTCAAGGAGTTGGGTTCCAGAGCCCAAGCTGTGTGTGGAGGGGAGGCCGACTATCTCTAGTCGGTATTGCTCAACCTCCCCCACAAGCTCGGGCTCCTTCCCCCCCAGTGAGGTGACGTTCCACGTCCCAAGAGCCAGATGTTGGGTGTGTGGACTGGGTCGCCGAGGTCTCCGCCTTCGACCGCTGCCCAGTCCTCTCTGCACCGCTTCGCCACCACGGACCCCTCTGCGGGTGGTGGGCCCACAGGCGGGACTGCCCACGTCGTCCATTCGGGCTGAGCCCGGCCGGGCCCCGTGGGCTAAGGCCCGGCCACCAGGCGCTCGCATACGAGCCCCGACCCCAGGCCTGGCTCCAGGGTGGGGCCCCGGCTGCGCCATGCCGGGCGACGTCACTGATCTCGTAATAGTGCTGTCCATGGTGTCTTCTGGACTGCTCTTTGTCTGACTCGTCACCTGAGACCTGTCTGCCATGGGAGGCCCTACCAGGGGCATGAAGCCCCAGACAGCATAGCTCCCAGGATCATCCGAGTACTCAAACTCCCCCACCACGTTAAGGTGGCAGTCCAGGGGGGAGTGGCAGTCCAGGGGGGAGTTATAAATAGTAATAAATAATTACAATCAACTAATGTTATTGTATTTTATTAATTCTGTGTTGGTGAACCAATAACTTTGTAAAGTTCTCAGAGATAACTGTTGTGATTTAGGGCTATACAAAAATAAATTGAATTGAATTATTACACATCTACCATGGCACGGTCGAACTGAAGAAGAGTGTTGCTATTTCTAGTGTTTTAGAGTTTCTGAAAGCTGAGGTACCCAACCACATATAATTGAAACCATGTCAGAAAGAAGTAGTTCCTCGCTCAACACAGTTTGGTTCTACTTTTCACAGACAGACAAGTGGAAAAGAAAGCACCTCATTCAGCTTATCTTCTCACAGCCCAAAGAGTCTAATAGTGACTTACAGAGCTCTTTTCTTATATGTTAAAGTTTGTATGATGTGGGTTGATTTTGTTGACACTCCTTCCCTCGGCTCTGTCACACTCCTGTCACATAAACTCTCGGCTCCACACACTCAGCAAGAGTTTTCCCACAAGAAAGTTAAATGTTTGGACACATCTGCCTCCATCTAGAGCAGAGAAGCAGAGACATGAGTGCACTGCAGCTGTCATCACACCAGCCGCATTCTGAGGGAAAGTACCATTCTTACCCTTCAGCTCAGGAAAATATCCCGTCTTTTACAGTAGACCTGGTCTTTAAAGGAGAGAGGTCCAGCCTGGCATTAGCCATCCGTAAACTCTGGTCAATTAACATTTCCCTATCAGACCCTGGGTGTGATCCTAGTGGCTGCGATCACCTCCATTGAATCCACTCTGACCAATCAGCGAGCGGGGGAGGCGGGTGTTGTGGGTCAGTGTCAGTGACATCAACAGTTTGTGATGAACTTGTTGGTTGTAGTTTGGCAATGGCGGCAAATGAGATAGTAAAGTAATTTGTTCTGGTTCGGATAAGAGGAATAAGAGGAATGTTTAGCAAGTTTCAATGCTGCAAAAATGTTGTGGCTCTACTCCAAGCCCCGGCAATCCAAGATGGCGCCATATTCAAAAGAATGGTTTGTGGCGCATGTGCCGGCATGGGCGCCGAAAGATTAGTGGAACTTGCCTGTATTTGGGCATCGTCTGGTCCTCCCGGTTCTGCGCAGTGGACTAGCTCCCATGATGTGTTGTGCCAAATGTATTTGTATAGCATAGTTCATACACAAGGCAATTCGGGCGTTCTGCTCTCCCAAAATTCCATCCACTGAGCGGCGCTGTGATCAAAAAATGACACCGTTTGTTGCCCAGTTCACTTCCGGTTGATTTCATACAATGGCGAATATGGCTCACGAAAACAACAAGCAATTGACAGTGCCTGAATTGCGTGAAAGGTTGAAGCGAAAGGGTATTTGCAGTGTGGGAAAACGAAAGGAGGAATTGTTGTTGCTAGTTCAACGAGCGGATGGTGTTTATGAAGATTTAGAAGAAGATGACAGCGAGCAGAGTGAACGAAAACGGCTGTGTGTGCGAGTGACAGATGGTAACAATGAGAATGAAGTTCAGCTAAGAGGGAAGAATGTGAATTGGACGGATGATTTGCGCGATATGCCACTAGTTAGAGACGGGAATGTATTTGCATAATGTAAAATGACGAAAACACTCAACCATTTAGAGAAAATGCGCCGGGCAGAGAGAACCGGAAGTTGCGAAGGCAAGTGTTACCCATAATGCAACGCAAAATTCAGTCGCTCCCCCGCCCATCGGATGGAATTTTGGGAGAGCAGAACGCCCGAATTCAAAGCGCCTGACAGAACAACATAGAAACAATACCTGGATTTGAACATTGTCAGAGAAGAAGCCTGTCTTGCATTTTCAGGAAGACTGCTCTAGATATTTTCTGCATAAATCTTAAGTCCTGACTCTGGGCACCAGCAGGAGGCCAGTCCCTCTGCTCCTGAGAGTCCGGTTTGGTTCAGATGGCACTAATATGTCACAGATGTACTTAGGTGCGAGGCCGTGAAAAGTCTATTCTGATAATGTCTCTCCGTCTTAAAAACTGACCTGAAGCCATTTTTCTGAGACCACACATTTTTTCTCCAGGTATTCACATCCATATTTGGCGCTAATGGCCCTGGTCTGTAAGACCTCTGTGTTAATCCCTGGTCTTAGTCCATCGTACTAATTTAATTTTGCACTAAGGTCTGGATTTGCTCCATTGAGCTCCGTTAACCTCTGGGAGGGGTTAACTCCTTTTGCAGATAGAAACGATTAGATCTGAGTTTATACTGTGACGTATGGGAGGGAGGCATTTAGCCTAACTTTAGCATTTAGGCTAGCTTTAGCCATCTCCTTTGCCACTTACGGAGTGGGGAGTAGAACATGGATCTATTATAATAACTGGATAGGTTATTACTAGCTTGTAGATGAAGGATCCATGTGCTCGGGGGATTCTCGCGGTACTGCAGACTAAACCAGACTAAATTCACGAGGGCTACCCAGAAATTTTCCCCATAGAACTCAATGTAAACTAAAACAGTTCGACCTCAGCTGACAGAGAACCTACAACTTTCATAAAGGTCGGATTTTAGTGTCTCTTGTCATCCTGAACTTTTTTTCTACTTAAATCCTTTGGTTTTCTTTAAATCCACACTTTACTGCCACAAACTCTGCTCGTTTGGCTCCCGCTCTAACTCCGCTCTGATCAGCAGCTCTGATTGGTCAGAGCGTGGCAGAACGCGTATTTGTCTTGCCCTTGCCTGTTTGAATGCAAGCCCCAGTTAGACCCACCCCCACAGATTCCTGATTGAACACGATGAAGTAAAATCCTTAAGTGAGTCCTTTTACCATCGATCCAACTATTATCCTCCAGAAAGGATTACTGTAGTGGTTATGCCAAGGTGAGGGATTACTTTATATGTATTATTTATGATGGATACTTAATTGAAATATACTACAGGGTCACATGGTCAAAACGATGTATTCTTGTGAACAAAAAATACAATGGAAGCTGCAGATATCGCCTCTGAACGAGTTTTAAACAACGGGTTTTATAAACTTGCCTGGCCTATCGTGAAACTGTCGCGTCTACATCAGAGTCAAGGAGTAGATCACGTGCCCCAACAGGAGAGACAGGGTCAGACTGGAGGGGATTCAGGCAGACCGAGACCAGGACCAGGACCGGGTTCTGGGGTCACCTGCAGCAATAATGTGCAACACTGTTGTAATGTAAAAATGTACAATAAGTGAATACGCTATTTATGTGTGTCGGCCGATTGTATGTATTGTGTGTACATACAGTATGTCCTTATCCTGATACTGCGATTACACAAACAGTTGTAGTCTGGAACTCCTACTGCTATTTTTTGTGCAATTAAAGTTTTATATTTAAGGAACAGTCCCTTCAATATGGACTTTGACATCTCATCTGTTAGTGAAATATAAATGGTTCAACCATTTATATATGAGACAAACATGTATATTGTATTAGCGACAGTAGCTCAGTTGGTAGAGCATTGGCCTTAAGCCCAGAAGGTCGTGGGTTCAATTCCCACCTCTGCACCTTCTCCATCGACTCCCACTGATGACTGCTGTCGTTGTGTCCTTGGGCAAGACACTTAACCCCACTTTGCCCAAAAAGCTCCCACTGAAAGATCAAGGCTATGCTCACACTCAGAGAGCAGCCGTCCTCCTGTGGACTCACCACCTGCAGAGGGTCAGTGAGGGGCTGGTGCTATGAGACTTGGGTGGCATCTCTGACTGCCACCCCCCTGACCCAGAAATGGATTAAAGGGTAGAAAATGGATGGATGGATGGATGGACAAACATGTATAAAGGATAAGAATGCCCACAGCATGTAATCCCCAACTTTACTTTGTGGGCCGCCAGCTTTGTGTAATGCATCTGGTTGTATATACTGCTCTGTGTAATCGCCCTGGGGATAAATAAATGATGTGTTTGAATTGGAGTGAATAGAATCCTATGGTTGTAGTGAAGCAGCCTCACTCTCCTCCTCAGAGCTCATTCATGTCTCTGCACGACACACACAAGAGAGAGACGGCTTCATTATCATCACAATAATACACGCTTTTACATGAGGCTTTTCTGGACCCTCAAGGACACTTCACAGCATCACTCATTCACTCCAGACTCAGTGCTACAGAGTGACTGCCCTGAGGCAGACTGGTGGAAGCAGGTCTGCTACTCTGTGCCCTCGGCCCTTCAGACCACTACATACTACTACCACTACTACTACATACAGTAATTCACTCACAACCTCCTATGAGTCGCAGACGCAGCAACCGCAGCAGAGGCAGCAGAGGCAGCAGCCGCAGCAGAGGCAGCAGAGGCAGCAGAGGCAGCAGCCGCAGCAGAGGCAGCAGAGACTGCAGAGGCAGCAGCCGCAGCAGAGGCAGCAGAGACTGCAGAGGCAGCAGCCGCAGCAGAGGCAGCAGCCGCAGCAGAGGCAGCAGCCGCAGCAGCCGCAGCAGAGGCAGCAGCCGCAGCAGAGGCAGCAGCCGCAGCAAAGGCAGCAGACGCAGTAGAGGCAGCAGAGAGCAGCAGAGACTGCAGAGGCAGCAGACGCAGCAGAGGCAGCAGAGAGCAGCAGAGACTGCAGAGGCAGCAGACGCAGCCCTCTGCAGACGCAGCCCTCTGCAGACGCAGCAGAGGCAGCAGACGCAGCAGACGCAGCCCTCTGCAGACGCAGCAGACGCAGCCCTCTGCAGACGCAGCAGAGGCAGCAGACGCAGCCCTCTGCAGACGCAGGCCTCTAGAGGCTCGGTGGAGTGCTAAGGAAGAGAACTTCTACAGCAGCGACTGCAAATGTTCAAACCACAAGAGGGCGCTCCGTACAAGTCAGGGGGCACATGCTCTGGTCTTTAGGTGCTACTTTTGCGACCAGAGGACCAGAGGAACACGTCGTGAACATTAGACTAATTGTGCGCTGCTCCTGTTGAAAATTGATTAAAGAAATAGAAGAAGACAAATGAACGTGTAAAAATTAGAACGGACTAGATCAGAGTAGAGCAGGATGAGAACATGGGTCAAAAGACTGTGGTAACAATCCATCACACCAGCCTCAACAGGAGCTATCTGAAATGTGTCTCCTCAAAAACACTGTATGTATGTATGTTTATATGTATGTATGTATGTATGTATGTATGTTTATATGTATGTATGTATGTATATATGTATGTATGTATGTATGTATGTGTGTATGTGCGTGCGTATGTATGTATGTTTGTTTATATGTATGTGTGTGTGTATGTATGCATGTGTGTGTGTACGTGTGTGTGATTGGACATAGCTGGAGACAGACGAAAGCTCCGCCGAGACCCTTGAGTCCCTCATCTCATTATCCTCATTACACTGCTCTAATTGGACAGGACTAAAATCAGCCGTCCTCGATACACACGTCCCAAAGACACATTTGGGAGACGGGACAAGTGGGCGTGCAGTGGACCGATGGCACACTGAATGGGAGGAGTCTTCAGGGGCAGTAATAGTGCTATTTGGAAAACAGAAGGGAGAGAAAAACTGTCCAATTGTCCAGACAGAGGCTACACGACCTATAGTTTTGAAACCACACAACACACAGAAGCAGCTCTGGAAATGTGTCCGTCCACACCAAGCTCTAAACCACACCCAGTCTCAGACCAGAGCGGGAAAATCTTTTGCATACTCTGGACTTACTGCACAAGACCAGGAGAACCAGAGCTGGCCAGAACTCGTCACTTCTGCTAATGTTTGCGACGTCCATGATGCTAGCTGGAGCCAATGGGTACAGGCTTTTGATCTGAACCTACTCCGTGCAACGAGACCAGAGGCTGAAGAGCTGCAAGATCATTTTTACCCCACACTGCAAAACCAATGAACAACAAAGCCTGTCCCTTCTCGCTTTGCCTGATTTCTCACAGAAACGTTCCCTGCACATGTCTGATCTGTGAACTTTTTCATCGATCATTACTAATAATAATACCTGTTGTTACCTGTATGTTTTACCATCCAACGTGATTACTTTTTCATCCCCATTTCTCACATTACCAAAACAGATTCTCTTTGTTTTTCTAAAATTTGATCAGTTCCTTTTTTACACAGCTGAGTGTCCATCTCTACAGCCGGAAAAAAAGACATGCTAAACCTGTTTAACCCTTTAATATTCACTCCTTGAAGAAAGCAATGTATTTTGAGATTTTTTATTTTTTTTGGATGTAGGAGAACTAATAGTAAGAAAGAAAGGTTTTATTGATATAGGGCATTTTACAGATCAAGTTACCCAAAGCGCTCAACAATTGTTCACATAGTTATTCTATTCTCTCCACACACGGTGATGACAGAAGCGAGTGGCCGAACACACTGGCCCATCAAAGCCCCCAACCAACATTGTCCATTCACTCACTCATACCTATTGTGCATGTTTTTAGTCGTAGGGGAAACCAGAGCACTACGCAGACACGGGGAGAACATGCAAACTCCCTTCAGAAAGGCCCTGTCCCGACCAAGATTGGAATCCAGGACCTTCTTGCTGTTTTTTCTAACCCTTAGTTTTTTAATAATAGGCCTGTACCAAATGGTTGAGATGCAGTTTGATGCTAAAAGTGCCTAAAATAAAGTGCCCAAAGATGTGGGGTATGGAGGTTTACAGAGTTACAGTGCCTTGCGAAAGTATTCGCAGTATTCTGCAGTTCATCCAGAGTGATCATGGGCCTCTTGGCTGCATCTCTGATCAGTCTTCTCCTTGTTTGAGATGAAAGTTTGGAGGGACGGCCGGGTCTTGGTAGATTTGCAGTGGTCTGATACTCCTTCCATTTCAATATAATTGCTTGCACAGTGCTCCTTGAGATGTTTAAAGCTTGGGAAATCTGTTTGTATCCAAATCCGGCTTTAAACTTCTCCACAACAGTATCTCGGACCTGCCTGGTGTGTTCCTTTGTCTTCATGGTTCTCTCTGCGCTTTAAACAGAACCCTGAGACTATCAAAGAGCAGGTGCATTTATACGGAGACTTGATTACACACAGGAGCATTCTATTTATCATCATCAGTCATTTAGGACAACATTGGATCATTCAAAGATCCTCACTGAACTTCTGGAGTGAGTTTGCTGCACTGAAAGTAAAGGGGCCGAATAATATTGCACGCCCCACTTTTCAGTTTTTTATTTGTTAAAAAAGTTTAAATTATCCAACAAATTTCGTTCCACTTCACCATTGTGTCCCACTTGTTGTTGATTCATGACAAAAAAATAAAAAAATTATATCTCTATGTTTGAAGCCTGAAATGTGGCGAAATGTTGAAAGGTTGAAGGGGGCCGAATACTTTCGCAAGGCACTGTATATTTGATCTACCAAAAAGTTGAGGAAACCATTAAAGGGCCGGAAAACCCAGATTACAGTTTTCCGATTGCTTACACTAGTTTCTTTTTCTCTGACACGCAGTAATAATAATGTGTTTTCCAGGAACCCCCGTCCCACCTTTACGATAATGCACTTGATCAGCGAGTAAACAGTCTGCTTCACAGTCAGCTAAACACAGCAGAACCACGGCGACCGTTGTGCTGACCGGTTTTAACCCGTGGCTCGAGTCAGCTCTGCTTGGTTTGCAGTTTTCCCAGAGGGGGAGGGCCGGGACACTCGAAAGGCCCCCGTCCGGCCCCTCGGACTGGACTCATTACCTAAGTAGTGCGCTGATGAGTCGATAACAGCCGGAGGTGGGGAGTCAGCAGCGTGTCAGCACAGTCCGTCAGACGTCCAAGTTCACAGTCAAAGGCGCAGACCAGAGACTCCGAGTGTTCACCAGAGAGGAGGGGACACGGGTTAACTCACCTCGGCAAATTTAAACCGGCAAAACACATGTAACCCTCAGACTGTATACACCGTAGATCAGGGGTCTCCAACAATTCTCGACTGGAGAGATCCTTTGATAAAATTTTCTCAGAGCTACACATTTAGCCGTTGTAATTAAATATTAATGGAATCTCCTAATCATGGAGAACACACATGAATAATATAACAGTCTCCCTGCATTAATGAAAATATGTACGTATATATATTTTTTTAATTATAATAGTTTGTAATGACTCGAGTTTTCCTCCTCTAGCTTAGTAACCGTTGGTGTTAAACAATCTGTGGATCAGTATTTTATGTGTTCCTGGTTTTGTTTTTTTGCTTTTTTGTATTAATCCCAGATATGAGCTTGCCTGGGCCGCTGTGTTCCAATCATGTCAAACTGCAAAACAGCCTGGAAACTCAACAAATAGTTGGCATGGATTTGGAACAATTCACAGTTCGAGGAGAGATGACGCACAAAGGGCTGACCATAGCTTGTAGTTTGTTCACAGATCCAGCAGGTGGCAGCAGCAGCTATACACTCTCATGTTTCACCTGCACAAACACCACTAAGCACCTCAGTGGAAGCAAAGATTTTATTTTTTGCTTCTTTCCTTCCAGCTGAAAGTGACATTCGTCTATAAGGTAGAATTGATATGATTGGTGCAAACATTCAGCTGCGTAAGAGAGACATTCAGCCCAATAAACCGCTCTGGACAATCATAAATCACACCTATATGAGCCAAAATGATCGACCAATCACATTTCTTCATGGGCAGTATGAACTAACAGCTTGCCTTAGCATCTGCCCCTGCCAAAACAAATTCCATCCATCCATATAGAGAAATTGGCTCCAGCTATTTTATGTTCAAATCGGCTTCTTCTGCATTCTAGTAAACACTTTGGTGACGTCAGCACTCGGTCAGTCCACTTCTTCTCTGGTCTCACTCTTTAATCTTTCCAATGAAAAGATTCAAATCAATATTTACCCAAGAGTATTCTATGTTTAGAAGACCAGCCAAATGAATCAAAAGATGTATCTAAAAAAATCTCAGGTGATTTACCTTGTCCCCTGCGGGGGCGCTAGAGAGTCAGATAACTGAGCTTTTGAACAGATCCCTTTGAATGCACCGTATGTTTACAGTTTACAGGTTTTAAATGACTGAACATTTGAGGATAATTCCACTAGCTTATAGCCATCTGCATTGGGACAAAATAAAAATATACAGGGTACGTTTTTTTGGGAAGTATTCACTTCATGTGAAAGCTATGAATGTGCTGTCGACTTTCAAACCAAATGTTTGTGTTTTCCTCCATTTGGGAGCTTTCGATTAGGGGTGGGAACCTAAGGGTGCCTCACGATACGATACCATATGCAATACAAAGCTCACGATAACGATTATATCACGATATGACGATTATCGATATGTTAGTCAGCAATATATCATATGCCATTATATGGCATACAAAAAATAGATAAATGTTAAGTGAAAAAATACACTTTATTTCATGATAAATGGAATGGAGATGTGTAATGTAGCCATATATTAAGTATTGATACTAACAAAACAAAAAAACAAAAAATCGATACTTGGCAAATCCATATCGATAATCGATCGCGGGAGAAAGTATCACGATATATCAAAAAATCAATATATCGTCACACTCCTACTTTCGATACAGGTGACCAGGATCAACAAATAACATGCTCTATTCATTTTAGCCATGTAATCTTTTGCATTAATAAAGAGTTCTGTGAGCCACAAGTTGTCGCTCTGAGCTGAGTGAAGGTGGTCCCCTCTTTTTCACTTTTCTGTCTTTTCTATGTAACCAAAATAAACGTATGTGAAACGAGTGATGAAGCCGTTTTGAGAGTGAAGAACTAGTCTGATGGATTTCATGACAAATATGACATTTTAGTGGTTTAGAAGTTAGGTACCCCAGCCTTAAAGTAGCAATAGCCACGTTTCCACCGCAGGAACTTCAGGATAATTTTCCAGGGCCAGCCTCGTCGGTGCGTGTCTCCACTGCAGGAACTTTCCCCACAGGGCCATTTCCAAGAACTTTTACAGGGCCCAACGGAGTCCATGCCAGGTACTCCGCTGGGCCCTGGTGGGACTTGAGGTTAACCCGGCACTGATTGGCTTAAGCTAGCGCAGGCTAAGGCCCTGTTTATACTGAGACACTGCGCAGACGTTTCCAGGCTATTAACAGAAACGACCAGGCTCCTAATGCAAATTTCTCAGCGTTCACATGAGGTTGAAAAACGATGTAGTTCTAGCGCCCGGCCAGTAGTGGGCAGAGAAACTTTACAACACGACACACAACCCCCAGCCCCGTGCCCAGCCCCCCTCTCTGCAGTGTACTCACTTCCTGTGCCAGACCCTCAGAGAGTACCAACATCATTCTGCATTTTAACAGCAGCTGTGAAAATGGAAACTGAACCTAGAGCTTCGTGTGGTCTCGTTTGGAAGAACGAAGGAGTAGAATTATCCTCTGTGCAGCGCTGGAAGCCCACGAAGCTAGTTTGTGTGACCGCCGCCATTGTTGTTGATGTTTGTTCTCCGCTACTGCGCATGTCCAAATGTACGTGCGGGAGCAGCAGGAGGTGGGGGTCAGAGCAGCAGGAGGTGGGGGTCAGAGCAGCGGGAGGTGGGGGTCAGAGCAGAGGGGGATTTCACACCTTGTCCCCTCTCGCTGGTGTGAAAGAGAGCCCCCGCTGTGCAGCGTTTCAGAGTTGTCCCACTCTGCAGGCTGGATCTGAACACTTACGTTTTCACCTGAAACACAGTCTTCGTGTGAACGGTTGGTAGAAACCGACATCCAACTATACCGTTTTACTGCCACATTGTCTCCGTGTAAACTCAGCCTAAGACCGCTCAGACGCCAGCAGAAAGCAGCAAAACAACCGGCATTAGCCCAGCAGCATTAGCCCAGCAGACACCACTGGATACATCGAATAACAGCACGGCGTTTCAGGGTTTGAGGCATTGCGGCAAAATGGAAAGATATATAAAGACATATCAGCTTCACTTCAAAGCCCTGGGGATTCATCACACTCCAAAACAAGCCGTGAAAAGTTTAAAAGAAACTGAAGCAGGACTATAAAATGACTAAAAGACCACAGCAAACGGAGCAGCCACGAACGTAAAATAAACAAATGGGTTTGGTGCATGGATTTATAATAACAGGTTTGGCGTGATGAGTTTCGCTTGTCCGGTTATCGAAACTCATGACGTCGCCGTGTGGTCCTACTGCAGTGGAGACACGGACACTGAGAGGACCGAGGGAGAGGAGGGTTCCTGTCAAAGTTCCACCCACTACCAGGAACTCCTGTGGTGGAAACGCGGCTAATAAGTAAGATTTTTATGTCAAGTCATCATTAAAGAGCCCTAATCTGTCAAAAGGAATTAATAACACGAACTTCTCCAATGCTTCTTTAACTGATAACAGTAGTTCAGGGCTACGCAAATTTTAAAATTAGTTTTACAGCCCCTACTTCTTATTATTGTTTTCATTTCGATGTCCCACCATCCTCCGATTCATCAGAAAGTCCGTGATCCGGGTTGCCAGAACTCACTGCGTTGAGCTAATCTCACTGGTAAAGTACCATATGGCGCAGAACTAAAAAAGGTCTCGTTATGATTCTCAAATCATTAACGACAAAACAAGGAATAAAACCAGGATTTATATCTTTGTCAAAAAGGTGTTGGTTATAGATTTTTTTTGTTGACAAAACCCTTGACTATTCAGCTGCTATGGTCTCAGCTGGATTCATCTGCATATCTGGCAACCTGAGTCAGGGAGAGTGGGAGAACAGTACGGAATATTATGTGATTGCAATACCAGTTTTGGCCAGATTTTTTACAGATTGCTCCTTTAAATGACAGAAGCAGTGACTCTGTATTTCTAACCCGGTTGCCGACTTGTAAAGAGAGGGAAAGCCAAAAGCAATGATTGGATTGCGATTAATCTGACGGAGCTACTTGTGGTAAATGTATTAGTGTGAAGTGAGGGAAGAGGATATGTCCAGGAGAGCCCAGCTGATCGTCCTCATCGATCCTGCCCAACAGCACTTGTGGTCTGTGTCTGAAGAACCCCATTAGAGGCTCTTGAACACACCGCAGTCCGACTGTACAACAGCCATTCTCCACGCTTTAGAATGTCCAATCATTTATCAAACTAAACTATACAACTCCGAAGACATAACCAATCGAACACCCGTCTGCGAGAGCTGTAAATTCAATAAAATGACCTGTTATTGTTCGTAAGTGTGCAGCTAATATTTATTACATTTAACTGTAACTATATGGGTTGAATGTTTTATATTACTGTAGTATAGTACTGTGAATGTACTCGTAACTCCGCCCCTTCTTTCTAAAAGTGCCAGATAGTACAACAACCACATCACACATCAAAATTAGTTTTACGACCGGTAAAAGTTGTTATTGTTTTCATTTCTCCGCCGTTTCGCCAATCAGGAAGTCTGCGATCCGGGTCGCTAATCCATGGGAGCTAATCTCAGTGGTAAAATAACATGTGGCCGCAGAACTAAAAGAGGTCTTGTTATGATTCTCAAATCATTAATGACAAAACAAAGACTAAAATGAGGATTTATATCAGATAATTGAGACAGCGGATAAAAACGTTTTGTGTGATGCAAAACTTGCTGCTTTGAGTGCGTTCTTCATTGACAGTTAAATTAGGTGCCTTATCATCACCAACTATTGCATGCAGTGGTGGAGTTACGGTTAAGCCAAAGCGCCTACAGTACATTTCAGCGACCCGGGTTCGAGTCCGGGCGGAATCTGCTTGTGTTTAATCTTATATTATCACATTCTATGACAGATTGCTCCAAGACAAAAATCAAGACGTTTTTTGCAGATTATAGCTTATTTGTAAAAAGAATAATTTGAGACCACATGTACCCAATTAAAATAATGTTAGTGTCTTTTTGATGTGGGACTTATACATGTCTAAAAAATAGGGAATAAATAAAATGTAAAGGTTATATCCTCTGGAGCAAACCCTGATGTTGATACGCTGAAGAAATACTGTACGTTCCAACATCCATTCTTCCCACTCCTATTTTGGACATCAATTGCTTATTTGTTTTGCATAATCTATGTATAATTAAAGTGCTTTTAATTTGGTTTTCTCATCTCAAATGTCCAAATAAAATTATTTAAAAATTCATTCAACATTAGCACGGCTCATGGCGATGTGAATGGAGACAAACAACCGATAAAATAATACCTTATGTTTTCTGCTGGATTTGGTGTGTATCTGGCAACCTGAGTCAGGGAGAGTGGGAGAGGACTACAAAATATTGACTGTGACTGCAGTACCACTCTTGGCCAGATTTTTACATAATGCTCCTTTAAAACCAAAGTATGGGCCTGGATGGGTTCTCTATAAATACATGTATGTGTTTGCAAACAGGAATCTTAAAATTCAACCTTGGTGGCAGCAAAGGGAGTTACAAGTGGAAAGCACGGATTACCCCTCAATACTTGTTTCACCATATTGATTCTAAAACATGTAATGACAAAGCAAAATGTCTCCTTGTCGTTTTTAATTGCCAAAAACAATCCATAATATGGTCTCAGCAACTGTTGCCAGATCCAGTACTGATAAAATCACAGTTTTAAAAATGATTTAAAATGTTATGATATAAGAAGCCCCTTCGGCAAATGTAAGAATTCAAGCAAAGGCTTAGAAAACTGGGGAAAATTGTTCAGTGGTCGAGTGTGTGTGTTTATTTGTGTCTGTAATGTTCTGTCGTTTGCAATGTATTTTCTATCCCTATGTCTAATCTCTCTCAGGTCATAAAAGGTTGAAAACTGGGACTAAACAGTGACTCAAAGAACATCCCAATAAAAGACTTGTAATATACATTCTCTGGTTCATGTTCAGGGAGACCATCAACACAATCACGGTGTATGTTGTTCTTTGATGGTGGCTCTGGTGGGAACTCCCGGATTCTCAGCTGCTGCACTGAGCTCTGGGGCTCCTGCATTTTTAATCCGTCTCCTTCAACAGAGCTGCAGCCAATCGCCCGCTGTCGGGAGGTAGGAGAAGCATTCCCAACACACGTGCCCAGCAGAGGGATGGGAGGACAGAGAGATGAGTGAACAGAGAGATGAGAGGACGGAGAGATGGGAGAAATAGTGCAGCTGAATCCCAGTGATCCAGGCTCCTGTTTTCTCAGGGAGAGGAAGTCATTAGTTTAGATGTATACAGTGCATTTTACAGACCAATGTCACCAAAAGCGCTACACAATGTTCAGAGATGTTTTTCAAGACCATCACCATCCGTTCATTTTCTCGTTAAAATTGAAAATAAAGTATATGTTTTAAGTGCTATGGTAGGGAAAATCCGAGCAACCAGAGGAAACCTACTCATACACAGGGTTGAACATGCAAAATCCTCTCCTACTCTTTCCACGTTCCATTGGCCAAGGCTGAAGGTTGATAACCCCCCCCAGCTGTCTCGTCTCCTATGGTTGTCGGAGTTCCTCTTTCATAAAAAAATGTCATAAAAATATACGCGTCTTGTCTTAGACATACCGTGTCTGTTCAAACTGTCATGAAATGTATGTTACTGCCCTCTGCTGTTTATTCTACTATCTCTTGAAACTCCACACTGAAAAGACCTTTCTGCGGTGAAGCACAAGCTCTAATGCTGAACTAGAGCGAGGGGTGTCAGCCGGCTTATCCGACCTCTGCTTCTCCAACCTCTGTTTATCCAACCTCTGCTTCTCTAACCTCTGCTTCTCGAACCTCTGCTTCTCTAACCTCTGCTTCTCCGACCTCTGCTTCTCCAACCTCTGCTTCTCCGACCTCTGCTTCTCCAACCTCTGCTTCTCCAACCTCTGCTTCTTCAACCTCTGCTTCTCCAACCTCTGTTTATCCAACCTCTGCTTCTCCGACCTCTGTTTATCCAACCTCTGTTTATCCAACTTCTGCTTCTCTAACCTCTGCTTATCCAACTTCTGCTTCTCCAACCTCTGCTTCTCCAACCTCTGCTTCTCTAACCTCTGCTTCTCAAAACCTCTGCTTCTCCAACCTCTGCTTATCCAACCTCTGCTTCTCCAACCTCTGCTTCTCCAACCTCTGCTTCTCCAACCTCTGCTTATCCAACCTCTACTTCTCCAACCTCTGCTTCTCCGACCTCTGCTTCTCCAACCTCTGCTTCTCCAACCTCTGCTTATCCAACCTCTACTTCTCCAACCTCTGCTTCTCCGACCTCTGCTTCTCCAACCTCTGCTTCTCAAACCTCTGCTTCTCCGACCTCTGCTTCTCCAACCTCTGTTTATCCAACCTCTGCTTCTCTAACCTCTGCTTATCCAACCTCTGCTTCTCCAACCTCTGCTTCTCCAACCTCTGCTTCTCTAACCTCTGCTTCTCTAACCTCTGCTTCTCCAACCTCTGCTTCTCCAACCTCTGCTTCTCCAACCTCTGCTTATCCAACCTCTGCTTCTCCAACCTCTGCTTCTCCAACCTCTGCTTCTCCAACCTCTGTTTCGTCAACCTCTGTTTCTCTAACCTCTGCTTCTCTAACCTCTGTTTATCCAACCTCTGTTTATCCAACTTCTGCTTCTCTAACCTCTGCTTATCCAACCTCTGCTTCTCCAACCTCTGCTTCTCTAACCTCTGCTTCTCCAACCTCTGCTTCTCTAACCTCTGCTTCTCTAACCTCTGCTTCTCTAACCTCTGCTTCTCCAACCTCTGCTTCTCTAACCTCTGCTTCTCCAACCTCAGCTTCTCTAACCTCTGCTTCTCCAACCTCTGCTTCTCCAACCTCTGCTTCTCCAACCTCTGCTTCTCTAGCCTCTGCTTCTCCAACCTCTGCTTCTCCAACCTCTGCTTCTCCAACCTCTGCTTCTCCAACCTCTGTTTCGTCAACCTCTGCTTCTCTAACCTCTGCTTCTCTAACCTCTGCTTCTCTAACCTCTGTTTATCCAACCTCTGTTTATCCAACTTCTGCATCTCTAACCTCTGCTTATCCAACCTCTGCTTCTCCAACCTCTGCTTCTCTAACCTCTGCTTCTCCAACCTCTGCTTCTCTAACCTCTGCTTCTCTAACCTCTGCTTCTCCAACCTCTGCTTCTCCAACCTCTGCTTCTCTAACCTCTGCTTCTCCAACCTCTGCTTCTCCAACCTCTGCTTCTCTAGCCTCTGCTTCTCCAACCTCTGCTTCTCCAACCTCTGCTTCTCTAACCTCTGCTTCTCCAACCTCTGCTTCTCCAACCTCTGCTTCTCCAACCTCTGCTTCTCTAACCTCTGCTTCTCCAACCTCTGCTTCTCCAACCTCTGCTTCTCCAACCTCTGTTTATCCAACCTCTGCTTCTCTAACCTCTGCTTCTCTAATCTCTGCTTCTCGAACCTCTGCTTCTCTAACCTCTGCTTCTCCGACCTCTGCTTCTCCAACCTCTGCTTCTCCAACCTCTGCTTCTTCAACCTCTGCTTCTCCAACCTCTGTTTATCCAACCTCTGCTTCTCCGACCTCTGTTTATCCAACCTCTGCTTCTCCAACCTCTGCTTCTCCAACCTCTGCTTCTCTAACCTCTGCTTATCCAACCTCTGCTTCTCCAACCTCTGCTTCTCCAACCTCTGCTTCTCCAACCTCTGCTTCTCCAACCTCTGCTTCTCGAACCTCTGCTTCTCCGACCTCTGCTTCTCCAACCTCTGTTTATCCAACCTCTGCTTCTCCAACCTCTGTTTATCCAACCTCTGCTTCTCTAACCTCTGCTTATCCAACCTCTGCTTCTCCAACCTCTGCTTCTCCAACCTCTGCTTCTCTAAACTCTGCTTCTCCAACCTCTGCTTCTCCAACCTCTGCTTCTCCAACCTCTGCTTATCCAACCTCTGCTTCTCCAACCTCTGCTTCTCCAACCTCTGCTTATCCAACCTCTGCTTCTCCAACCTCTGCTTCTCCAACCTCTGCTTCTCCAACCTCTGTTTCGTCAACCTCTGCTTCTCTAACCTCTGCTTCTCTAACCTCTGTTTATCCAACCTCTGTTTATCCAACTTCTGCTTCTCTAACCTCTGCTTATCCAACCTCTGCTTCTCCAACCTCTGCTTCTCTAACCTCTGCTTCTCCAACCTCTGCTTCTCTAACCTCTGCTTCTCTAACCTCTGCTTCTCTAACCTCTGCTTTTCCAACCTCTGCTTCTCTAACCTCTGCTTCTCCAACCTCTGCTTCTCTAACCTCTGCTTCTCCAACCTCTGCTTCTCCAACCTCTGCTTCTCCAACCTCTGCTTCTCCAACCTCTGCTTCTCCAACCTCTGCTTCTCCAACCTCTGCTTCTCCAACCTCTGCTTCTCCACCTTCTGCTTCTCCAACCTCTGCTTCTCCAACCTCTGCTTCTCCAACCTCTGCTTATCCGACCTCTGCTTCTCCGACCTCTGCTGCTCTCACCTCTGCTTCTCCGACCTCTGCTTCTCTAGCCTCTGCTTCTCTAACCTCTGCTTCTCCAACCTCTGCTTCTTCAACCTCTGCTTCTCCAACCTCTGTTTATCCAACATCTGCTTCTCCGACCTCTGTTTATCCAACCTCTGCTTATCCAACTTCTGCTTCTCCAACTTCTGCTTCTCCAACCTCTGCTTCTCTAACCTCTGCTTCTCCAACCTCTGCTTCTCCAATCTCTGCTTCTCCAACCTCTGCTTCTCTAACCTCTGCTTCTCCAACCTCTGCTTCTCCAACCTGTGCTTCTCCAACCTCTACTTCTCCAACTTCTGCTTTTCCAACCTCTGCTTCTCCAACCTCTGCTTCTCCAACTTCTGCTTCTCTAGCCTCTGCTTCTCCAACCTCTGCTTCTCCAACCTCTGCTTCTCTAACCTCTGCTTCTCCAACCTCTGCTTCTCCAACCTCTGCTTCTCCAACCTCTGCTTCTCCAACCTCTGCTTCTCCAACCTCTGCTTCTCCAACCTCTGCTTCTCTAACCTCTGCTTCTCTAATCTCTGCTTCTCGAACCTCTGCTTCTCTAACCTCTGCTTCTCCGACCTCTGCTTCTCCAACCTCTGCTTCTCCAACCTCTGCTTCTTCAACCTCTGCTTCTCCAACCTCTGTTTATCCAACATCTGCTTCTCCGACCTCTGTTTATCCAACCTCTGCTTCTCCAACCTCTGCTTCTCTAACCTCTGCTTATCCAACCTCTGCTTCTCCAACCTCTGCTTCTCCAACCTCTGCTTCTCTAACCTCTGCTTCTCCAACCTCTGCTTCTCCAACCTCTGCTTATCCAACCTCTGCTTCTCCAACCTCTGCTTCTCCAACCTCTGCTTATCCAACCTCTACTTCTCCAACCTCTGCTTCTCTGACCTCTGCTTCTCCAACCTCTGCTTCTCAAACCTCTGCTTCTCCGACCTCTGCTTCTCCAACCTCTGTTTATCCAACCTCTGCTTCTCTAACCTCTGCTTATCCAACCTCTGCTTCTCCAACCTCTGCTTCTCCAACCTCTGCTTCTCTAACCTCTGCTTCTCTAACCTCTGCTTCTCCAACCTCTGCTTCTCCAACCTCTGCTTATCCAACCTCTGCTTCTCCAACCTCTGCTTCTCCAACCTCTGCTTATCCAACCTCTACTTCTCCAACCTCTGCTTCTCCGACCTCTGCTTCTCCAACCTCTGCTTCTCGAACCTCTGTTTATCCAACCTCTGCTTCTCTAACCTCTGCTTATCCAACCTCTGCTTCTCCAACCTCTGCTTCTCCAACCTCTGCTTCTCTAACCTCTGCTTCTCCAACCTCTGCTTCTCCAACCTCTGCTTCTCCAACCTCTGCTTATCCAACCTCTGCTTCTCCAACCTCTGCTTCTCCAACCTCTGCTTATCCAACCTCTGCTTCTCCAACCTCTGCTTCTCCAACCTCTGTTTCGTCAACCTCTGCTTCTCTAACCTCTGCTTCTCTAACCTCTGTTTATCCAACCTCTGTTTATCCAACTTCTGCTTCTCTAACCTCTGCTTATCCAACCTCTGCTTCTCCAACCTCTGCTTCTCTAACCTCTGCTTCTCCAACCTCTGCTTTTCTAACCTCTGCTTCTCCAACCTCTGCTTCTCTAACCTCTGCTTCTCCAACCTCTGCTTCTCTAACCTCTGCTTCTCCAACCTCTGCTTCTCTAACCTCTGCTTCTCCAACCTCTGCTTCTCCAACCTCTGCTTCTCCAACCTCTGCTTCTCCAACCTCTGCTTCTCCAACCTCTGCTTCTCCAACCTCTGCTTCTCCAACCTCTGCTTCTCCACCCTCTGCTTCTCCAACCTCTGCTTCTCCAACCTCTGCTTCTCCAACCTCTGCTTATCCGACCTCTGCTTCTCCGACCTCTGCTTCTCTCACCTCTGCTTCTCCGACCTCTGCTTCTCTAGCCTCTGCTTCTCTAACCTCTGCTTCTCCAACCTCTGCTTCTCCAACCTCTGCTTCTCCAACCTCTGCTTCTCTAACCTCTGCTTCTCCAACCTCTGCTTCTCCAACCTCTGCTTCTCCAACCTCTGCTTCTCCAACCTCTGCTTCTCCAACCTCTGCTTCTCCAACCTCTGCTTCTCCACCCTCTGCTTCTCCAACCTCTGCTTCTCCAACCTCTGCTTCTCCAACCTCTGCTTATCCGACCTCTGCTTCTCCGACCTCTGCTTCTCTCACCTCTGCTTCTCCGACCTCTGCTTCTCTAGCCTCTGCTACTCTAACCTCTGCTTCTCCAACCTCTGCTTATCCAACCTCTGCTTATCCAACTTCTGCTTCTCCAACCTCTGCTTCTCCAACCTCTGCTTCTCTAACCTCTGCTTCTCCAACCTCTGCTTCTCCAATCTCTGCTTCTCCAACCTCTGCTTCTCTAACCTCTGCTTCTCCAACCTCTGCTTCTCCAACCTGTGCTTCTCCAACCTCTACTTCTCCAACTTCTGCTTTTCCAACCTCTGCTTCTCCAACCTCTAATTCTCCAACCTCTGCTTCTCTAACCTCTGCTTCTCCAACCTCTGCTTCTCCAACCTGTGCTTCTCCAACCTGTGCTTCTCCAACCTCTGCTTATCCAACCTCTACTTCTCCAACCTCTGCTTCTCCAACCTCTGCTTCTCCAACTTCTGCTTTTCCGACATCTACTTCTCCAACCTCTGCTTCTCCAACCTCTGCTTCTCCAACCTCTGCTTCTCCGACCTCTGCTTCTCCAACCTCTGCTTCTCCGACCTCTGTTTATCCCACCTCTGTTTATCCAACCTCTGCTTCTCGAACCTCTGCTTCTCCGACCTCTGCTTCTCCAACCTCTGCTTCTCCAACCTCTGCTTCTCCAACCTCTGCCTCTCTAACCTCTGCTTCTCCAACCTCTGCTTCTCCAACCTCTGCTTCTCCAACCTCTGCTTCTCCAACCTCTGCTTCTCCAACCTCTGCTTCTCTAACCTCTACTTCTCCAACCTCTGCTTCTCCAACCTCTGCTTCTCCAACCTCTGCTTCTCCAACCTCTGCTTCTCTAACCTCTGCTTCTCCAACCTCTGCTTCTCCAACCTCTGCTTCTCCAACTTCTGCTTTTCCGACCTCTACTTCTCCAACCTCTGCTTCTCTAACCTCTGCTTCTCCAACCTCTGCTTATCCAACCTCTGCTTCTCTAACCTCTGCTTCTCTAACCTCTGCTTCTCCAACCTCTGCTTCTCCAACCTCTTCTTCTCCAACCTCTGCTTCTCTAACCTCTACTTCTCCAACCTCTGCTTCTCCAACTTCTGCTTCTCCAACCTCTGCTTCTCCTGCTTCTCCAACCTCTGCTTCTCTAACCTCTGCTTCTCCAACCTCTGCTTCTCCAACCTCTGCTTCTCCAACCTCTGCTTCTCCACCCTCTGCTTCTCCAACCTCTGCTTCTCCAACCTCTGCTTCTCCAACCTCTGCTTATCCGACCTCTGCTTCTCCGACCTCTGCTTCTCTCACCTCTGCTTCTCCGACCTCTGCTTCTCTAGCCTCTGCTTCTCTAACCTCTGCTTCTCCAACCTCTGCTTCTCCAACCTCTGCTTCTCCAACCTCTTCTTCTCCAACCTCTGCTTCTCCAACCTCTGCTTCTCCAACCTCTGCTTCTCCAACCTCTGCTTCTCCAACCTCTGCTTCTCCAACCTCTGCTTCTCCAACCTCTGCTTCTCCAACCTCTGCTTCTCCAACCTCTGCTTCTCCAACCTCTGCTTCTCCAACCTCTGCTTCTCCAACCTCTGCTTCTCCACCTCTGCTTCTCCGACCTCTGCTTCTTCTCTCACCTCTGCTTCTCCGACCTCTGCTTCTCTAGCCTCTGCTCTCTAACCTCTGCTTCTCCAACCTCTGCTTCTCCAACCTCTGCCTCCAACTCTGCTTATCCAACCTCTGCTTCTCCACTCTGCTTCTCCAACCTCTGCTTCTCCAACCTCTGCTTCTCCAACCTCTGCTTCTCTAACCTCTGCTTCTCCAACCTCTGCTTCTCCAACCTCTGCTTCTCCAACCTCTGCTTCTCCAACCTCTGCTTCTCCAACCTCTGCTTCTCCAACCTCTGCTTCTCCAACCTCTGCTTCTCCAACCTCTGCTTCTCCAACCTCTGCTTCTCCAACCCTGCTTCTCCAACCTCTGCTTCTCAACCTCTGCTTCTCCAACCTCTGCTTCTCCAACCTGTGCTTCTCCAACCTCTGCTTCTCCAACCTCTGCTTATCCAACCTCTACTTCTCCAACCTCTGCTTCTCCAACCTCTGCTTCTCCAACCTCTGCTTTTCCGACTCTTCTTCTTCTCCAACCTCTGCTTCTCCAACCTCTGCTTCTCCAACCTCTGCTTCTCCAACCTCTGCTTCTCCACTTGTTCTCCACCTCTGCTTCTCCCACCTCTGTTTCTCCAACCTCTGCTTCTCCAACCTCTGCTTCTCCACCTCTGCTTCTCCAACTCTCTCCTTCTTCCAACCTCTGCTTCTCCAACCTCTGCTTCTCCAACCTCTGCTTCTCCAACCTCTGCTTCTCCAACCTCTGCTTCTCCAACCTCTGCTTCTCCAACCTCTGCTTCTCCAACCTCTGCTTCTCCAACCTCTGCTTCTCCAACCTCTACTTCTCCAACCTCTGCTTCTCCAACCTCTGCTTCTCCAACCTCTGCTTCTCCAACCTCTGCTTCTCCAACCTCTGCTTCTCCAACCTCTGCTTCTCCAACCTCTGCTTCTCCAACCTCTGCTTTTCCGACCTCTACTTCTCCAACCTCTGCTTCTCTAACCTCTGCTTCTCCAACCTCTGCTTTCCAACCTCTGCTTCTCTAACCTCTGCTTCTCTAACCTCTGCTTCTCCAACCTCTGCTTCTCCAACCTCTTCTTCTCCAACCTCTGCTTCTCTAACCTCTACTTCTCCAACCTCTGCTTCTCCAACCTCTGCTTCTCCAACCTCTGCTTCTCTCTGCCTCTACTTGCTTCTCCAACCTCTGCTTCTCAACCTCTCTCTCCAACCTCTGCTTCTCCAACCTCTGCTTCTCCAACCTCTGCTTCTCTAACCTCTGCTTCTCCAACCTCTGCTTCTCCAACCTCTGCTTCTCCAACCTCTGCTTCTCCAACCTCTGCTTCTCTAACCTCTGCTTCTCTAACCTCTGCTTCTCTAACCTCTGCTTCCTCCTCTGCTTCCTAACCTCTGCTTCTCCAACCTCTGCTTCTCTAACCTCTGCTTCTCTAACCTCTGCTTCTCCAACCTCTGCTTCTCCAACCTTGCTTCTCTAACCTCTGCTTCTCTAACCTCTACTTCTCCAACCTCTGCTTCTCCAACTTCTGCTTCTCCAACCTCTGCTTCTCCTGCTTCTCCAACCTCTGCTTCTCTAACCTCTGCTTCTCCAACCTCTGCTTCTCCAACCTCTGGTTCTCTAACCTCTGCTTCTCTAACCTCTACTTCTCCAACCTCTGCTTCTCCAACTTCTGCTTCTCAAACCTCTGCTTCTCCAACCTCTGCTTCTCTAGCCTCTGCTTCTCTAACCTCTGCTTCTCTAACCTCTGCTTCTCTAGCCTCTGCTTCTCTAACCTCTGCTTCTCCAACCTCTGCTTCTCCAACCTCTGCTTCTCTAACCTCTGCTTCTCCAACCTCTGCTTCTCCAACCTCTGCTTCTCTAACCTCTGCTTCTCTAACCTCTACTTCTCCAACCTCTGCTTCTCCAACTTCTGCTTCTCCAACCTCTGCTTCTCCTGCTTCTCCAACCTCTGCTTCTCTAACCTCTGCTTCTCCAACCTCTGCTTCTCCAACCTCTGCTTCTCTAACCTCTGCTTCTCTAACCTCTACTTCTCCAACTTCTGCTTCTCCAACTTCTGCTTCTCAAACCTCTGCTTCTCCAACCTCTGCTTCTCTAGCCTCTGCTTCTCTAACCTCTGCTTCTCTAACCTCTGCTTCTCTAGCCTCTGCTTCTCTAACCTCTGCTTCTCCAACCTCTGCTTCTCCAACCTCTGCTTCTCTAACCTCTGCTTCTCTAGCCTCTGCTTCTCTAGCCTCTGCTTCTCTAACTTCTGCTTCTCTAACCTCTGCTTCTCCAACCTCTGCTTCTCCAACCTCTGCTTCTCCAACCTCTGCTTCTCTAACCTCTGCTTCTCCAACCTCTGCTTCTCTAACCTCTGCTTCTCTAACCTCTGCTTCTCTAACCTCTGCTTCTCCAACCTCTGCTTCTCTAGCCTCTGCTTCTCTAACCTATGCTTCTCCAACCTCTGCTTCTCTAGCCTCTGCTTTTCTAACATATGCTTCTCCAACCTCTGCTTCTCCAACCTCTGCTTCTCTAACCTCTGCTTCTCTAACCTCTGCTTCTCCAACCTCTGCTTCTCTAACCTATGCTTCTCCAACCTCTACTTCTCCAACCTCTGCTTCTCCAACCTCTGCTTCTCTAACCTCTGCTTCTCTAACCTCTGCTTCTCCAACCTCTGCTTCTCTAACCTATGCTTCTCCAACCTCTACTTCTCCAACCTCTGCTTCTCCAACCTCTGCTTCTCTAGCCTCTGCTTCTCCAACCTCTGCTTCTCCAACCTCTGCTTCTCTAACCTCTGCTTCTCTAACCTCTGCTTCTCCAACCTCTGCTTCTCCAACCTCTGCTTCTCTAACCTATGCTTCTCCAACCTCTACTTCTCCAACCTCTGCTTCTCCAACCTCTGCTTCTCTAACCTCTGCTTCTCTAACCTCTGCTTCTCCAACCTCTGCTTCTCTAACCTATGCTTCTCCAACCTCTACTTCTCCAACCTCTGCTTCTCCAACCTCTGCTTCTCTAGCCTCTGCTTCTCTAACCTATGCTTCTCCAACCTCTGCTTCTCCAACCTCTGCTTCTCCGACCTCTGCTTCTCCAACCTCTGCTTCTCCAACCTCTGCTTCTCCAACCTCTGCTTCTCTAACCTCTGCTTCTCTAGCCTCTGCTTCTCTAACATATGCTTCTCCAACCTCTGCTTCTCCAACCTCTGCTTCTCTAACCTCTGCTTCTCTAACCTCTGCTTCTCCAACCTCTGCTTCTCTAGCCTCTGCTTCTCTAACCTATGCTTCTCCAACCTCTGCTTCTCCAACCTCTGCTTCTCCAACCTCTGCTTCTCTAACCTCTGCTTCTCTAACCTATGCTTCTCCAACCTCTGCTTCTCTAACCTCTGCTTCTCTAACCTCTGCTTTTCCGACCTCTGCTTTTCCGACCTATGCTTTTCTAAACTCTGTTTCTCCAAATCGCTGGAGCTCACAAGATGCCAAAGACTGTGACAGTAAAAGACTGTGGTGGCGAAACCTTTTCAGCTTTTCTGCAGATCGGATCTCTCCAGTCTAGAGCCTGGTTTTAAACATGTCCACTATCATATGAGACACTGGATTGATAAAGTATTTTTGCGTTTAGGCTTGAATTTGACTTTGCGTTGACAGGGCCTGTTTTATAATCTACAAGTCATAAATATTATGTCTAAATGGAAGAAGACAGGGTCAGTTGCAGAATGGGTGATTTTAGCCGCAGGCGGCAGTTAAGGCCCTTCATGATGAGGTCACGTACGGAGCCTGATAATTGACAGCTAAGTCCCGCCCTCTCGTTTTCATCGCTCATTTGGATGATAGGGCAGCTGTCACCTCCAAGGTCCTGCCTCACACATGGACACGCTTTTGTATTGTTATCACCGTGTGTGTGTGTGTGTGTGTGTGAGAGAGAGAGTGTGAGTGTGTGTGTATCGGCTACAATGAGAAAACAAGTCCAATGTTAACTGGAAAATTCTCACATTTTGTACAAAAAACGCAAAACTACTCAACATCTATATATATCTACATCTATATATATATATAATTTCACCTATAACAGATATGTGTTTGTGTATGTGTATGTGTATATATGTGTATATGTATATGTATGTATGTATGTGTTTGTACAGTATGTGTGCGTGCTTGTTTGTGTATGTGTATGTATGTATGTGTGTGTGCTTGTTTTTGTGTATGCAGGGACAGGTGGCGTACCATCTGTAACACCATAAAACTGGTCGCTCTGGTTCAGGTCCATGTTTGTTGCAGTCTGTAAACAAACGAGCTGCAGGTGCTCAGACACAGACAGTCCCCAAAGTCAGTCATAAAAGGAAATGAGATTCCAAGGGCACCATCAAAGCCAATTCCCAGGGGGCCACATCATGGATGTCGCATGTGGAGGGCGTTGGACTAGAGGCCACCCGTGGTACTGCAGCCTAAAATGTCCACTTAGACCTCGTTGTTCACTACAACGGCTCGTTCTCAGAGACAGGGAACCGACAGCTTTCTCAAAAGAGGGTTTTGTGTAGAGGTGTGTCCTTTGTCATTCTGAACTAATAATCCACATTTTCTCGCAAAAAATCAGCTCGCTCTTGTCCCGCTGTAGCCTGGACATAGCCATCCGTAAACTCTGGACAATTATCATTTCCCTGCATGTAATGTGTGGGTCTGGTCCCAGTGTCTGCAATTACATAAGGTTGAATCCCACCCGACCAATCAAAGAGCGCGGGTGTTGTAGGGAGGTGTTCCGTGACGTCAAGAGTTTGCGCCAAATTGGCTGGTTGTAGTTTGGCGGAGGATGCGTGACAGTAGCTCAGTTGGTAGAGCATTGGCCTTTGAGCCAGAGGGTCGTGGGTTCGAGCCTGACTTTCACCATCGACTCCCACTGTCTGCTGTCGTTGTGTCTTTGGCAAGAGACTTAACCTGTAGGAACACCAGGTGCCACAGTGGGGCGGCTGCAGCTGTAAAGTGCCAAACTGCCGTTGTGTCCTTAGGCAAGACACTTTACCCCCATTCACACACCACCAGAATGAGTCTGGTGTGTGTGTGAATGGTTGGTGGTGGTCGGAGGGGCTGATGGCACAGACTGGTTGCCTCGCTTCTGTCAGTGTGCCCCAGGGCAGCTGTGGCTACAGTACTAGTTTATCCTGAGTGTCCAAAAAAGCGCTATATAAAACTGATGCATTATTATAAAGTCATCTGTTCTAGTTCTATCAAGAAATTGACGTCGGAGAAAGAGGAATGTTCAGCAAATGTCATTGCTGGCAAAGATTGTGTTGCTACTCCTTCGGGCTCCGTTAGTGGAAAAGGAGATGGCTAAAGCTAGGCTAAATGCTAAAGCTAGGCAAAATTCATACGCTGTGTTTCCTAAATGAAATGTCTGCGTTTAAAACTGCTTGGGGTTCTCTCCTCCTAATCTTGGTATTTGAGTTTACAGTGTATACACAAAATCCCTGCATGTAAACACAACAACACAACAGCTCTATAGGAACCCTCATGTAACTGTGGATATGTGGAATACTTGTGTACAGTAACTGTACTACAGTTGAAGTTTGCGTCAAATACAAATGTAATCACCACTACCATAACTTCCACAGGACCAAAGTAACACGTGAACATTCTGACCAATCAGAGCCCAGTTTGTGGCACTGAAGTGTTCATTTCCAGAAAATTGATGGATTTAAAAAGACAAATATTTCAGGACGACAAGGGTCACTAAAATCCTCACAATCTGACCTTGTTCACAATAGGGGCTATAGGAAATGTAAGCTGCAGTACCGCAGTTCGGCTCTAGTCCATGTGGAGACAGGTTTAAGCAGTAACACTTTGACAACAGGAATCCAGGAAACATCCTCACAGCAGCAGGGTCCTGTTTCCAGAACACCAGACATTATTTAGATGATATTACTATACTGTTGTAAAAGCTCATCTCATATGCGTCTGCTCATATGCGTCTCGCTCACACTTTGTAAGGGACTGTTTTCCTAAAAACTGGTGCGTCCTTGCTGCCGGGAGGACATGACTTTCCTCCATGATGACACTGTACAGCCGCAGTTACATCAGCCGGCACTCTACTCTACTCTACTCTACTCTACTCTACTCTACTCTACTCTACTCTACTCTACTCTACTCTACTCTACTCTACTCTACTCTACTCTACTCTACTCTACTCTACTCTACTCTACCCCGATCGGGAGCGTTTCCATCTGCCTTGTTAAACCGGTTCCGGGTACTTTTTTTGTAGCCAGATACCATCAGACCTCTGAAACTAAGCAGGGCAGGGCTTGGTTAGTACTGTGATGGGATACCTCTGGGAAAAAAAGGTACCACAGTGGGGCGGCTGCAAAGTGCTAAACTGTGATTGTGTCCTTAGGCAAGACACTTCACCCACATCGCCGAGAATGAGTTTGATGTGTGTGAGTGAATTGGTGGTGTTGGGAGGGGCTGATGGCACCACGGTGTATGGAGTGAATGAAGAATGACAAGTAAAATATCTTTGACCGTCCAAAAAAGCGCTATATAAAACCAATGCATTTACCTGCTTGTACCTAGTTCCTCCAGGCCCAACTGGTTACTGTCAATTAGTGATTCACGAGGCTCTTTCTTACAAGTTCACCAAAGATAATAGGTTTTTCTAATAAAATAATAAGACAGCATGTTGTGGTCTGATTTCTTCCCAACCTTTTCACTTCGACAAGACTCTTTCTCGTTTATGAAACCAAACAAAAAAGTTAGGTGCCTCAGCTTTAAGTCATTTTAAAACAAAGACAAGGTTGTGACAATTGCACTCATCCGGTGTCAAATCCATTCACCATCATTTTGAACATTTAGCAGCAACTCTGTCGGCTGTCAGAACACGTTAGAACCACGCAGCTTCAGGAAACTTCAAAAGTCGCACACACACACACAGAAACACACACAGACACTCATACACACGCACAAGCAGGTGATGACTTATGTGCTTTCTGCTTATTCGGCTTTGTCCCCGGTCTACTGTCCTCTCCTTTTTATTTCTTTCACATCCAACTAAAAATACTTCCACAGCTCCAGGGACACTTCTTCACTCCCTCCCTCCACAGAGGCACTGAAAACAGGCGGTGTACCAGGCTCAGACTGTGGCCCACATCTAGCAAATCCTCCGATCGCCAACATCGCTGCTCCACTGAACCACTGCACTCACCCCAGTCGTCTATACTGAGACAAGAGAGGTCTGAGTCTGCATGTATACTGAGACAAGAGAGGTCTGAGTCTGCATGTATACTGAGACAGAGGTCTGAGTCTGCATGTATACTGAGACAGAGGTCTGAGTCTGCATGTATACTGAGACAAGAGAGGTCTGAGTCTGCATGTATACTGAGACAAGAGAGGACTGAGTCTGCATGTATACTGAGACAAGAGAGGTCTGAGTCTGCATGTATACTGAGACAGAGAGGTCTGGGTCTGCATGTATACTGAGACAGAGAGGTCTGAGTCTGCATGTATACTGAGACAGAGAGGTCTGGGTCTGCATGTATACTGAGACAGAGAGGTCTGAGTCTGCATGTATACTGAGGTAAGAGCGGTTAGAACCCTCATGTATACTGAGACAAGAGAGGTTTGCGGTTTTGTGGGAAATGCCGTATGGATTTTTGAGTTTTGAACCGGTCTGTGGATGTCAGTTATAGTGAGACAGTTTAAATTTGAGACGGTTCACATGTGAGATGGGGGAGGATGGGGGAGTCTCAGCTGTCGCGCTGTCTTTTTGTGTCTCAGTCCGGTACAAACTGCGCTCCACACACAGAGCATCACGCTGTAAGTGCTTTGACCACAAGGCATCTCCTCTCTCCCATACGTTACATGTCATCATTGAGCTGTAGTCTGTTCATTGCTATTCACCCGCTGGCCACTTGATTGGTCGCCCCTGGCCTGGACTCGTGGGCTGCACCTCCCTCCCCGCCTGGGAGCCTCTTCAGTCCTCGTTCTGTCCTGGATCTCTCTCTATGCAGTTTTTCAAATTATTTTTTATTTTATTTTTTGAGTGGTTTCTTGCTGATGCAGGAGGTTCTAAAAACAGTGATGATCCGGGATATTTATGGACATCAACATTTCTGGAGAGTGGTCTTCCCGCTCCCTGTGGATCAATGGCTCCTATGTGTTTGTTATAATCGGGTTTCCTGTTTTTGAGCTGTTTGATTCTCTGATCTATCATTGAGGAATCTGCAACTTTGTGAAGTGAAAACAACTGTGTACATTCATATTTGATTGTGCCATGCTCTACGTCATGGTGATTATATTTCACACCACTAGATGGGGGTGTTTCACTGAGTCCAGTCCTGGTCCATGGACGTGGCGGAGGTTTCCTTTCTCCCACTGGGTTCTGGAGTCTGTCCAGAGGAAGCAGGAGGTTCCAGGACAAGGCCAATCTGCTTTTTTCATTAGCTAATAATAAAGCCTCAGTTTTAGTATTGCGTTTATGGACACTCAAAGATGCTTTACACGTCTTTCACTCAGCCACAGCTGCCCTGGGACACACTGACAGAATTGAGGCAACCAGTACATGCCATCGGCCCCTCAGAGCACCATCAACCATTCACACACACACCACTCATTCTAGGCAATGTGGGTGAAGTGTCTTGCCTAAGGACACTACAGCAGTTTGGCACTTTACAGCCGCAGCCGCCCCACTGTAATATTTTGTCCTTCTATTTTATGTTTCTAACAAGTTTGTGAAGTCCTGCAACAATTCTCTTTGTCTGGCACCCAAACCCAGCCACAGACCCAGACCCAGACCCAGGCCTGGACCTGGGCTATCAGGCTGTGTGAGCGTAACGGACACTGCGGTGGGGACATGGCTCCACGGATGTGACTGTAACTGGATCAGAGGTGCTCAGTCATGGAGCGGATCCAGAACAGGACGTTACATCCGGACACAGGTCAGAGCTGAGGTGCTCTGAGGCCACGGTCCACGCTGTGAGTCAGCTCTGGACCAATAAGTCACTCCTCATACGGACACACACACACACAAACGCACAAACACACGCACAAACACACACGCGCAAGTAGACACACATACACACACACACACAGGCGCAAACATAGAGACGCATGGACACACAAACACCCGCAAAACACACACACACACACACATGCATGGACTTAATACGCATGGACATAAACACAACAACAAACACAGGCGGGCATGCAGTCACACACACAGATGGATGGGCGGACAAACACATGTGCACGCAGATACACACACACACTCACATGAACGCATAGCCGGACACACACACACACGGATGCATAAACATAAAGACATAAGCATACACACTCACATGCACGCACACACACACGCACACACGCAATCACAGACACACACCCGATGAAGAGAGGCCAAGAGCAGTCAGCACTTCCACCACCTGCTCACGCTGCATCACACCCTCAGCTTCTTCCTCTATTTAAAGCTTTTCTCTTCCTGCCGGAGTCTCCATGTTGTTGTTGTTGTTGTTGTTGTTGTGTTTCCTGCCACGTCGCACACTTTGGCTTTAAACCTTCCACGTATCTACTGTGTATTTTATCTTGTGTATCTATTTCATCTTGTGTGTGTATGTTATCTTTGAAGGCTGACGCACACAGCCAGAGGCCATTTCCAACACTAACTTAATCTCCCACTCTTTATCAGTGGTTGAGTGAAGTCATTTCTGAGTGAAGTATTTTTAAACAACAACATCACTGAGCCACTTTGGGGATATCTCAAATGTGCAGTTCATGAGAGGCAACCCAGGAATTTGCGGGAACTGGAGGTGTTTGCCAAGAAGAATGGGCACCAGAGAGACCGGAGTACCCAGGGTGCTAGTCCAGGGAGAGAGGCGAGAGACAGACCACAGAGAGAGACCAGAGAGAGACCAGAAAGGGACCAGAGTGTCCAGGGAAGAGGCCAGGGTGAGAGACCAGAGTGAGACCAGAAAGAGAGCAGAGAGTGACCAGAGAGAGACTAGAGAGAGACCAGGGAGAAACTATGGAGAGACCAGAGAGAGACCAGACAGGGTCCAGAATGCTCAGGGAGGAGGCCAAGGAGAAAGACCAGAGTGAAAAGAGAAAGAGAAAGAGAGAGAGACCAGGGAGAAACCAGAGAAAGACCAGAGAGAGACTAGAGAGAGACCAGAGAGGGATCAGAGAGAGACCAGGGAGAGACCAGAGAGAGACCAGAGAGAGACCAGAGTGAGACCAGAGTGAGACCAGAGTGAGACAAGAGAGAGACCAAACAGGGACCAGAGTGCCCAGGAAGGAGGCTAAGGAGAAAGATCAGATTGGGACCAGAGAGAGAGAGAGACCAGGGAAAGACCAGAGAGAGACCAGAGCGACCACAGAAGATAAAAACCTCCTCCACACTACCACAAAAGACTCCAAGCTATCATTGATGTTAAATGAGCGATACATGCTACTGGGAACAGGGGGATGGACACTTCTGATCAGGGTCAGAGGAAGAGTTTTAGCCTCATAATCATTTGAAAATCAAAAAAAAACTTTATTTGACATGGGCTGGATTCACAAAACCACTACTGGGCCAAGTTAGAGGCCATCAGAGGAGGGAAAACACAAATGTTGAGCACGAAATTACGAGCAAAGGGACAATGAATATTCCACTGCTGCTAACAGGTATTTTCTGTATAGTACATGTATGTATTATATTCATGTAAAATATCTTGTAGTTGAATAATTGTAAATACATAAATAACAATAGCACACTTTCAGAAATAAAAGGTCTGAGAGTGTGAGCTGTCCGTGGTGCTGAAGAGACCACAGCCATTACAAGCTTTCAAAACTACTGGGCTGGACATGTAAACTGCCCTTTTTGTGCCTAACTTTGTAAATGTGAATATATTTACAATTTATTTTTCTACTTAAACTTCAACCAAACATGGGGCAGCAGTTTTACAGCAGTTTTCAGATTTACAGTAAGGTTTTAAAATATGGTGTTCCCAAAGGTCTCCCATCAGGGTACTAACCAGGCGCTGCCCTGTCTAGCTTTCACCTGCTGGAGGCACTACATTTATTTTGTATAAAAGACAATTGAGCATTTGCTTTCTGCAGCAGCACAAATCAACCAAGCTACTTTTGCTTCAAAACCATGAAACACAACTGGGGGCATCATGATGAGGGAGTGGCCTGCATGCTCCAGAGGGAGACCAGAGAGAGACCAGAGGGAGACCAGCGAGAGACCAGAGGGAGACCAGAGGGAGGCCAGAGAGAGGCCAGAGGGAGACCAGAGAGAGACCAGAGAAAGAGACAAGAGGGAGACCAAAGAGAGACCAGAGGGAGGCCAGAGAGAGACCAGAGGGAGACCAGAGGGAGGCCAGAGAGAGACCAGAGGGAGACCAGAGAGAGACCAGAGGGAGACCAGCAAGAGACCAGAGAGAGACCAGAGGGAGACCAGAGAGAGACCACAGAGAGACCAGAGGGAGACCAGAGAGAGATCAGAGAGACAAGAGAGACACCATAGAAAGACAAAAGAGAGACCAGAGAGAGACCAGAGGGAGACCAGAAAGACCAGAGGGAGACCAGAAAGACCAGAGGGAGACCAGAAAAAGACAAGAGGGAGACCAGCTAGAGACCAGTGAAAGACAAAAGAGAGACCAAAGAGAGAGACCAGAGAGAAAAAGAGACCAGAGAGAGCGAGAGAGACAGGAGAGAGACCAGAGGGAGACCAAAGAGACTAGAGAGAGATCTCAAAACTCAGTCTAATACAGCGCTCTGAGGTTACTGTCTTTCTGCTGCACACTCGGAACGTGACAACAACGAAATAATAAAGCATTGAGAATTTCACTCTGAACCAGAGCAAAGGGAAACCAGGGAAAATGGCTCGAACCAAACAGACTCTGCAGACATCAACCAGAGGAAGCGGCTCATCACCAGCGACTATTGCACCTCTGCTGCAGTGACATAAAGGACTATTGCACTTTACTACTATTGTTAGTGACTTTTATAATGATGTATTTGATTGTTTGTTTGTTTGTGTGTGTGGAGAGACCAGGGAGAAACCGAGAGAGACCAAACAGGGACCAGAGTGCCCAGGAAGGAGGCCAAGGAGAGAGACCAAACAGGGACCAGAGTGCCCAGGGAGGAGGCAAAGGAGAAAGACCAGAGAGAGAGAGAGAGAGAGAGAGAGAGAC